CCCAGGTCGAGATTCGCATCATCTGCACTGACCCTGCTACTGGCATGCCCTACCCGTTGCGTGTTATCATCACCAACACCTCCGGCTATGTCATCCAGGTCGAGCTTTACGCCGAGCGCAAGTCTGAGAAGGGCGAGTGGGTGTTCCATTCCATCGGTGGCACCACCAAGATCGGCTCCATGCACTTGCTGCCGGTCAACACGCCTTACCCCACCAAGAACTGGCTCCAGCCTAAGCGTTACAAGGCTCACCTCATGGGCACCCAGTACGTCTATGACTTCCCTGAGCTCTTCCGCCAGGCTATCCAGAACAGCTGGGCCAAGGCTGTCCGGATGGACTCGTCTCTTGCCGACAAGCAGCCCCCTGTTGGCGAGTGCATTGAGTTCAGCGAGCTCGTGCTTGATGACCACGACAACTTGATCGAGGTCTCGCGTGAGCCTGGCACCAACACTTGCGGCATGGTTGGATGGCTCATCCGTGCGAGAACCCCCGAGTACCCCAACGGTCGCAAGTTCGTTGTTGTCGCCAACGACATCACCTTCAATATCGGCTCTTTCGGCCCCAAGGAGGACAACTTCTTCTTCAAGTGCACTGAGCTTGCCCGTAAGCTGGGTATTCCTCGCATCTACCTGTCCGCCAACTCGGGTGCCCGCTTGGGTCTCGCTACCGAGCTTATGCCTCACTTCAGTGTTGCCTGGAACGACCCCAGCAAGCCCGAGGCTGGCTTCAAGTACCTCTACCTCGACGATGCGGGCAAGAAGCGCTTCGAGAACACTGTCATCACCGAGGAGATTACCGAAGGAGACGAGAAGCGCCACAAGATTGTCACGATCGTTGGTGCTGAGGATGGTCTCGGTGTTGAGTGCTTGCGTGGCTCCGGTCTCATTGCCGGTGCCACCAGCAGGGCCTACAACGATATCTTTACTTGCACGCTCGTCACCTGCCGCTCCGTTGGTATTGGTGCTTACCTTGTCCGTCTTGGTCAGCGTGCTGTCCAGATTGAGGGCCAGCCCATCATTCTCACTGGTGCCCCTGCCCTCAATAACGTCTTGGGTCGCCAGGTCTACACCTCCAACCTGCAGCTTGGTGGTACTCAGATCATGTACCGCAACGGTGTCTCCCACTTGACCGCCAACGATGACTTTGCTGGTGTCTCCAAGATCGTCGAGTGGATGTCGTTTGTCCCTGACAAGCGCAATAACCCTGTGCCTATCAGCGTCAGTGTCGACACTTGGGATCGTGACGTTGTCTACACCCCGCCTCAGAAGCAGCCTTACGACGTCAGGTGGATGATTGGTGGCAAGGAGGACGAGAACGGCTACCAGCCCGGTCTCTTCGACAAGGACTCCTTCGTCGAGACCCTTGGTGGATGGGCCAGGACTGTCGTCGTTGGTCGCGCTCGCCTTGGCGGTATCCCCATGGGTGTCATCGCTGTCGAGACCCGCTCTGTTGAGAACATCACTCCTGCCGATCCCGCCAACCCTGACTCGATCGAGCAGGTGGCCAACGAGGCTGGTGGTGTCTGGTACCCCAACTCCGCCTTCAAGACCGCCCAGGCCATTAACGACTTCAACAATGGCGAGCAGCTTCCGCTCATGATCCTCGCCAACTGGCGTGGTTTCTCTGGTGGTCAGCGCGACATGTACAACGAGGTCCTCAAGTACGGTTCTTTCATCGTCGACGCCCTTGTCAAGTTCGAGCAGCCTGTCTTCATCTACATTCCTCCCTTCGGCGAGCTTCGTGGTGGCTCGTGGGTCGTCGTCGATCCCACCATCAACCCTGTCGCCATGGAGATGTATGCTGATGTGGATGCTCGCGGTGGTGTTTTGGAGCCTGAGGGTATTATTGGTATCAAGTACCGCAAGGACAAGCAGCTTGAGACCATGGCCCGCCTCGACCCCGTCTATGCCGACCTCAAGAGGCAGAGCGCCGATGCCAGCCTTCCCAAGGAGGAGTCTGATGCGATCAAGCAAAAGATGACTGAGCGCGAGCAGCAGCTTCTGCCCGTTTATGCTCAGATCAGCGTGCAGTTTGCTGATCTCCACGATCGCGCTGGTCGCATGAAGGCCAAGGGTGTCATTCGCGAGGTCCTTGAGTGGCAGAACGCCCGCCGCTTCTTCTACTGGCGTGTGCGCAGAAGACTCAATGAGGAGTACATTCTCCGTCGCATCATCTCGGCTACTACCCCTGGCGGTGCCCCAAGCAAGGCTCTCACTGCTAACTCGACCAAGGAGCGCGCCCGTCACCTCCAGCTTCTCCAGGCCTGGAGCGGTATTGAGAAGTTCGACACCGCCGACCGCGAGGTTGCCGTCTGGTACGAGGAGAACCGCCACCTGGTCCAGACTAAGATCGATGCCCTCAAGGCCGAGGCGATCACCTCGGAGATGCGCGACCTTATCCGCGCTGCCTCCAAGGGCTCTGATGACGCTGCCTGGAAGGGTGTCCGTGATATCCTGAGCGTTATGCCTGTTGAGGAGAGAGAGAAGGTCGTCAAGTACCTTACTACTCTCTAGATTCGTTTGAGGGTGGAAGAAGTTGGGAGGTTTAGAGACGGTAGAGATGGCATTTTTTGAGGCATGGTCGGAGTTGAGGTGGAGACGTATTACAAGTTTTTATATCATGATCTCTCTTATGGGTTCTTTCTTCTTATCGAGCGGTTATAAAAGGAGTTATGAGAATACAAATATGGTAGATATCACGGTGGATTGAGCGTTGGAGGGCGCTCAAACCTACCTGGTATCCCACTTGGGCGAACAAGCGAATGGAATAGGACGGCAATAGTCATTATTATTTGCATATCGGTAGTTGTGTAGTTATTGCTAGCAACATGAATCGATTAACCAACTTTGGATCTTGCTTTGTCGTGATGTTAGCCGATGCTGAGATGTCGAGCGCTCTGATGTTGGATGGATTGCCCGCTCCAGCACAACAGGCTCAGCCTGGCTGGTGCAAGCTCCCAATCGGCTCCTTTGCATTTACGTTACCGTACTAACAGATTGTTACTAAATACCCCACGAAATGAGTTAAGGCCGCATCTTATTCTTAGTCGCCATCTTTTGGATTGTACGTCGCGTTTTCGAATCATCGACGACTAGTCATTGATACTTATTGGAACTAGGTTCCTCTTAATGAAGGGTTTTCGTGCGTAGCTGAAATAAATAGGTCGATAGATTGAGCTGGGGTCATTTTCGTACAGCATGTGCTACTGTCAGCGTCCTTGTCGTTGAGTGTTCTGCTTGTGTTGAACAAAGCCGTGTTCGTTACCGCGTTAAGGTTTTGGCCTTAACCTCTGCATTACTGTGCAGGGTCTGCAGCTGCACTCCTGCAACATTAAGGCAGCTTTAAGGTATGCCAAGAGAGCTCATTACTGAGCTCTGTTCGGTATATATAACCAATGGCCTCCCCCCCGTAGTCATCTTTTCAACTCTTCCTTTCTCATCTACCATACTCTTTTTAACAACCACAGTATATATATTGTGTAAAATACTGTGTAGTCTAAATGGTAGATTTTAATTGGGAATAGCCTCATTTATTATCTTTTAGAAAAAAAGGGTTTTTTTTTTTTTTTTTTTTTTTTTTTTTTTTTTTTCTAAAGAGAGGTTTAGGAGAGGGAGGCGCTTTACGACGGCGACCCCCTATATTTATAAGGGGTAGAACACTATAAGTAGTTCTTACTACGTTCCTTACTACTATACTGCTCAAAATCGAGCAGTACAGCAATAAGCAAAACGGTTAAGAAATAAGAAGATTTTAGCCCTCTAATTGGCCAAATCGACGATTTGGAGAAAGTACAAGTAGTTGCAGGTAATTGCAGCGATTTACATAAAAATAAAAATTATTTAACGAACGCTACACGAGCGCAGTACGGCAGTAAGCTTACTGCGATCCGAACCCTGCAAATCTGGATATCTCCTAACTTTATCCCGCGGTAACGAACACGGCCCAAAGGGATTTGACCACTTCCCTGTCATCACCTTCGTAGCCTTACTAGTTTTCCTGCCAAGTTCGACCTGTACTTGCTATGCTGACAACTATAGCAACAGTTGACCTTATTCAGATACTCCTATAGAGTTCTTGTGAGATAGTGGTAGTGAGGGTTCTCGTCAGTTTTTACATGTTATGTATTGGATAGATTACAACAATGATAGACATAAACAAGATTGAAAACAAAACATTAAAGCATGTTGAACATCTATTTATATAAGCGGACCAAAAAAATCCGATCCGGACAAAAGGTCCGGTTTATGATCCAGACCAACCTTTTAAGAAAACCCGGAGAAAAATCCAGACGTCAATCTTGGCAGTCAAGTTCCAGCGTTAACGTCAGTCGATTGAAGGCATACGTAAGATATTGGAGAGCACAAAATGTGACGTTTTTGACTTTCGAAGTAGATTTGCTACCTAGGTAATGATTATAAGAAGACTGCGAAGAACTCTACAACTTTGTTTTTGAATTCTTTGTTGACTCGAGAGGTATAGTTGACATATAGGAATAGTGAGACTACCTTAGTATTAGAACGGTCGAAGAATAACGATTTCAGGGCAAGTGCAAACGGTCTTATTACTCAATGACGTATAGATTGAAAATGTCTATTTAAAGAATGTGCCTTGCAGGAAACCTCAAAAAAGAAGCAATATGTCTTAGACACTTATCCTTATCTTTACTTCCACTTGTCTACTACCTTTTCACACGTTCTATATACTGTTCTATTCGTCTTCAAACGCCCTACATACAGACTCACTTTAATTCACTCCAAGTCCGTTAAGTTGCTATTCTTCACCGTCAGGGAGACAGCGACCTTGACCTCTTGATTATTCCGTCTCATTCAATAATCCGTCGATCGATACCTTCCAACAGTTGTGTTCTTACAGTACCTATTATTACAAGACAACAGAACTCGCATCTGCCAACCTGCGACAAACCAATCTTGCACCCCAAGCGAAATCACGTCCTCCCAGCAATTCGGAAGCCTACCTAATTAGGTTGACATCAATTCCAAATGTCTCACCCCATAACACTCTCCCCAGCTAGAGCAGAGCTCAACTTCCTCCTCCATTCTCACGCCCAAAAGAAAAAGGTCAAGATCATCGAAGCACCACATACCATCCGTTCATCCCGCCACCGAGAATTATCATCTCATTCACTACTAGTCGAACGCTACCGCTGCGAAGGCATAATCACCATGCACCCAAAAGACGACAACAAATCACATGCACTGCTTGAGCAGGTTCATGTTCCGAGGGAATCAAATTTCCTACCTCTAGTTCGAGCGCCCACGCCTTATTACCCACGCGAGGTGGAAGAACAGCAGCAGCAGCAGGATGGAAAGAAGAAGAAGGGGGTTCGTTGGACGGATCCTTTGGAAAGACCGGCTACAGGGAAGGGATTTCCGGGGGTGCGCGTGAGGTCGGTGCTTAAGAAGACGGATGCGGTGGTGGGCGGGAAGAGCAGGAAGTGGTGGTACTTGAGGTGAAGAGGAGCAAGAGAATGGGCCAGTCGAATGGGTGAGCAGGTGACCTTTTTATTGTGCGATGGGACAAGCCACCTGGTATTCCTAGGACTACCTACCTAGGTAGGAATGTCCCGAAGTCAGAGTCGTCGTCGAGTCGAGGGTTTGCCTGAGACGTCCTACTTCCTACTTCCTACCCTATTGCTTCTTTCACCACCGAGGCGCTTCGGCGTCCGCAGATTGACCGTCGTCCACCGAGCCTGTTGATGCATCCCTCAGGAGATTCCCGCGGCGTTGCAGATTACCTAGGTAGTTCAAGTTGAGGACTCGCTATGTCCGTCGAGGTCGAACCCAAAGGATTTCTTCATCAGCGTCGGCGCCTGAAGTTGCAGTAGGTACGTAGGTAAATTCCACTTGGTACTGCCACCCCCTTCCCAAAAGAACTTGACCTCGCTGACCACTAATGACCGCGGAATAGATACCTACCTAGGTAGAGCTATATCTACCCAGAGGTAGCTACACTCCCCTCACTATGGCACCGCGCTTCTGCTTCTTCTTCTCCTCTCCCTTTCCGCGTAGGGCCATATTCCCCCTCTCGGTTCAACTTTGCAGGGCTCCGGGTTAGCATAATTGCTCCTCCATTCCAAGAGAGGAATCACCCCCTTGATCCTCCTATGCAAGATATTCCAGTTCCGGACCGCTTGCTCCGGGAAAGGACGCCAATAAACAGGTAGTAAATGGAACTTTCCGAACTCTTGACGGAGGCGGCTATACAAGCGCTTGCTGTCAAAAAGATCAAGATTGCAATACAATTCCTTGGCTTCCTTGCAGTCAGCGAGCTCCAACCACTCGCTTGAAGCCCGGCGGTAACGAATGACGTGAAAAAGAAGCGAAGTGGAATCATCGCCGTTTAGGTCCTTGAACCGACGCTTGTCGATGGGTTTGCCCGTGTTGAATGGGGGGAAGCGGAAGCTGATATCGAGCTGTTGAAGCTTGGGCATGTTGAGCATGCCCTGGGCCATTGCCACCATCAAGTTGTTGAAGTCGGGGGTCACTGTGAATATCCCGATGATTTGTAGGGAAACCAGCTGTTGGGATAATGTGCGGATTGCTACGTTGAGGGTTTCTTCACGTTCACCTTCAGACTGGGTTAGAGGTGTCTTCAGGAACTCTCGCAGAGCAAACGACTCGTAGTTGAAAGGCCCGACCCACAGCGAAAGGGATGATAGGTTCTTAAACACCTCGCCATGAAGAGCTTCACAAATGCCTAGTAGATAGGTCTTTGCGTCAGTAACAGTGCCCTTTTAACCATGAAACACTCCCACATACCTGTACGATGTTTTGTCCTTTGCTGGCCTTGGTCCAGGAACTCGTGCAGTTCCCAAACAACGTCATCGACTGTTGGAAATTTGGTCAAGATGTCCGACATCCATACCGGTGGAACCTCTGTTGGCTCCAAAAAGACATGTTTGCGTGGCCTTGTCAACCTTAGGTTTATATCCTCGTCATGTGTGATCTGTAGATGTGTCACACCCGGGCACGTCGGCAAATTATTGATATCCGACGGCGCTCCCCAATTTCCTCTCTCCGCTCCCAACAGCGGGCGTAAGTTGACGATGTTGATTTGGAGAAACAACGGTGCTTCGGGCATTGGAGAAGCAAGGGAACTCGGCTAAGGTAGAGGTATTAGGACGGTCAGTATTGGAACTAAACATGGAACCTTCAAGACCAGAAGACGATGAACCTCATCAGCTTCCTTTCACTCACCCGAATGAGGTTGACAAGTCGGAGGATGCTCCCAATTGTGGAAATAACTCCTCGGTCGCTAACAACTGGAAAGGGTGTATGTGTGGCTCTGTCAAGGTAGTCGAGGTTGATGTTGCATTTGATGTAGCGAACGGAGTTACGGCGATGGGGGTTGCGGGCCATAATCTGTCTCAACTTGAGTTCATCATTCGGTGACCGAATTTTGACAAGTGTGAACATTTTCTTCTCGATGGCACGTTGCCACGGAAGTGAAATGGTGGCATAAGCTGCCGCGCTCACTGAGTCGCGTTGCCTCCATGTTGCTTCCTGCTGTCTTGCGTTGAGAGTTGCGATGTTGTCCCACGCTGTGAAAAGGACTGGGAAGAGATGGTGGGCAACCTGGTCGATGACCTCTTGGGGGAGTTTTTCCATGGTTGTAAAGATGGATAAATACTTTTGATCTCGATAGCGAGGAGGATCAACAGAACTGCGAGTAAGTGTCAAAGAGACGGAAAAAACTTGAGCAGAAATCTTAATTAGAGGTTAGGAGGATAACGGTAAAGTGACGGATGTGAGCAGCCAGTACGCAGAGAAGGTAGATACTCCGGGATGAAAGCAGGATTGTGCTAGGACCGGGCAGACGACAGGAAGAGAGAATAGGATAGGCCTATTGCACGTGGGTCAAGGGGGCGGATTACTTGGCGCACCGAGTCTTCCGTTGCACGGCTGGGTTAGCGGTTGAGTTATGGCTTTGGGGGATAATCGGCATAGGGTACCTACCTACAGATAATAGCTTTGCGCTGTTGAGTTAATGGAATGTAAGATACTGCTCATTCTTATTGTGGCGAGAGGAGAACTGAAGGAGGGGAAATTTGGTGCGAGTGATGTATATATAGAAGGGAAGGACCGGCGTCGTGGATGCCTGCCGAACGAGTGGATAGGAAACAAGAAGTCACGGCCAGTTTTGACGCTGATTGCCTCGAGTAGCGTATATAATTGGAGAAATTTCGGTGGGAAAAGGAAGTTGAAGTATCTTTATATAACGAATGACCGAGTAAAACTTTCCAAGCTTTTTAATGCGTAGACTATATTTTATTGTGATCTGAATTGTCAAGGTGTGATGATGTCGATTCCGTAGCTGCAGTGCTTGAGAGGGGCGGGGCAAAGAGCTCAATGGGTGTCCGAGTTACTCTACTAACAGATCGTCACCTTGCAATGACGGGTCCCTGATATGATTGCATCTCATTTCGCGATCACCCTATCATTTGTGACCAACCACGAAATCTGGTTCCGATACGGGAAGTATCTATTTCCAGCCACAGGACATTAACTTGAGCAATAGGAAGTAAAAGGCCCAGCCTCAATTAATCCTATTCTATCAGCCGTATGAGACGGTATCAAGGTTGATCACGACACCCTCTGCACCATCGTCACCCAATACATAGGTAGCCGTGCCAGCCGGCCTTAGCCCAACGTAACCCAAAAATCCTCCCGATCCCATGAAACTTAGTGTACCTAGGTCAACCCATAAAATTTCCAACTTTGCCTCTCGGTAGTTATTCGTAGCAAGTCCATTGGAAACACCGTATGACGCCTTGAAGAACTCCACGAATCCTGACCCAGCACCGTACGACAAATAGTGCTGTTTGAATTGGCTTCTCGTTCAGGCACTTTCCAGCCTTCCAGCAACAAGGAGAGGCAAAGGTCTAATCCGATAAAACCATAGACTCTAGTTCGCACCAAAAACCCCGGCATCCTTAAGCTTGTCGATTATCCGTTGTTCATCGGGAGCTTCAACACAAAAGATCTAGTCAGCAACTAATCAACTAGTTTAGAGACACTGCCCCCTCAGCCCACCCAATAATTTTCTAAGTGGGCAGTAGGCCATCTCTCTATGCGATACCAGAAGATACGCAGGGAACTCACAACGTCTCATATCCCCCGCCACCTCGCCCACCGTAAACTCCCTCGACCAAAGCTGCGCCAGATTGGTCACGTCAATCTTATCCTCATTGATTGAAACGCCCATCTTATAGGTACCCTCCTTGAGAAACTTGGCGTTGTGAAAGAGAAAAAAGGCGTATGGTGCCCCGTGCCCATCTTCTTCCCCAGGGAGAGCCACACCGGTGACGGCCAGGCCCTGGCCCGTTTGGACTGGGCGTACGCTTATGTCTGCCAAAGGCTTATTGGTGGTCGGGTCTCCGAGGCAGAAGAAGGCGTGGAGGTCCTCTGGAAGTAGCGTAGAAGGTAAGGGCCCGTATCGAACGACGGCGAGGATCTTGATGTTTTGCTTGGTTAGAATGAACTCGGGAGGTTGGACGACAAAGGAAGCTCCGCCGGAGGTTGAAGTGGACATCTTGGGACGATGGTGGGTTGGTGCAATGTGATGCTGATGTGTTGATGTCTGGTCAGTTGAGTTCTCTAAAGATCGCTTGCGTGAAGTTAATGCGGTGAGATGATTCTACTGAGGTTGGGGATGGTAGTGTCAAGTCTCTGGATTCCATCTCTTGATTTATACTTTGACAACCGTGAGAGACATAGGTGAAGGAGGATAATCTCATCCTGCCAACACCAAGTTGGCCCTTGGTGATAACAAAGGGAGATGGTGGGAAATTGACATTGGTAGTAGGTGGGTGTAATACCTTGCTTGATGCTGACGCCAACATCCTTTCTACTCGATCGTTTGGTCCGGCTTGGATCCGATGATAGAGTCCTCTTTGTCTGATAATGATGATGATAATGCGGCTCTAGGTCTGGGCTTGACAGAGGTAGGCTGTTAGATAATTTCTTTTGGTGACTGGATGTTGGAATATCAGGTTGGCCAAGGGGTATCTCAAGGCGACAAAGCGACTGTGAGTCCGATGTTCGGGATATCAAAAGCAGAGCTGTCCGGGGAGAGGTCATCGTCCGGGGGGTCTTCATCAAAATACGTGTGAGCTTTGGAACTTTTATTCTTCTCAAGCCACTTGGGATAATTTGGGCTCAGGCCTTTCCCACCATACTTGGAGCCGGAACTCGTTCCGTGTATCATGATCGCAGGCACATGGGATCCCATGCACAGATCCGGTATAGACTGCCTTCTTGACCCACAGTAGGGCGACTATGATATCTGAGAGAACTAAAAGGGATGGAATTTGATCACAGTTCACCCTAACCAACGTGTTGTGTGATCCGGATCCAGGTATGTCTTTCGGATAGCAGGGTTGAGGGTCTCTGTACGCCAGACATACGTAGCCGTTCAGCAGGACCAGGGGGCCGCCGGCTTTCTTCATCGGAAAATAATCCAACAGTACCTATCATTGGCCTTTGTGAGCTCCCTGATATCGACTTGTCTCGTTCAAGTTGGTTCCCCTTGGCGTCATCTTCATTCGGGCTCGGATCGTTGGCCCCCGCGCCTCATAATGGAGTTGAAAGGTTGGCGTCAAGGTCGAAGTTCGATCCGCATCACCATGGAAAATGTTGGGCCTGATCGTCAGCAGGGGCTCTTTCTGGGGAGTCTCGGACCAAGATCCGGTTGTGTGTTAGCAAGTCTCACCTGTTCGCTGCTAGACAGAAAGCAACGTGACAGATCGTTTGTGGCGCTCGGCTATGACGCAGGGACCAATGAGGTCCGAAATGAACACTCCAAGTTGGCAGCCCTCACCAATGCCACGCCTTTCATGAGAGGCAGAAGGCCATCATGAACCTGCATGTCTTTGACGTTCGAGACGTTTTCGTGGAAGTCTTCCGCCAACAGTATGAAACGGATATGCTGAGACCTGAGGCCATCGCCAACCCCAATTGTTTGGCGCTGGGATTCAGGGAAGAGTTTACTTGCGGTAATCATGACACCTTCCACCCAGCTCCTTGGCGTTCCGCGACATAAGGTCTCTGCCCAGTCAGAAAATGTGGCAAGGAGCCGCGGGACATGCAATGCTAAGATACCGGTGATGTCAACGTCGGATCTGCTTGAGATGCGCCGTGCCGGAACTCGCAGCCCTTGCGCTTCATGTCCAGGGTTGGCGAACTAATAACGAGGCGGATATTGCAGCGTTGTAGTAGAATTCTGGGATGTCGTTTACCAGCTGACGGGAATTGCGTTCCGGAATCTGATTCGATGAGCATGGCAATGGCGATGCACGACTTCTCAGCGCCACAAGCTAATCATGTACGTTCGCACCACAACATCGGCAATGCAAGCAAGATACCCGATCTTGGTTCCCGAATTTCGGGATTGGGGGCAGAATCGATCCAGATCCATGGCGCTAACACGTCAGATCGCAGTGTGACGCAAGCTCAAAAAGACCATCTCGGGCTCCCACTCCAAGTTATTAGAGGAATCAAATCCTGCTCCGATTCTTCGCTTGACTTTAGATAACTGTTGAGAGGCTCTGATCGCGAGGTCCGCGAACGAGGGGGACACTGGACATTTAAATCGAGGATTGCCAGACTTTGTTTGCCACATGGAAATCGAAGCCAGGGGTTTAATTGCCTTTTAGCGCACCCCCTGTCAAGAACTCTGAATCCCCCTGTTCTCATATTAGGTCATCCCCTCCATCGCCAATCACTGAACCGGCCAGAAGAAAATGTATCGGCGCGGAGAACATCAGAACGACAACATGCTGGATCCTCTCTCATATATCATGGAATTCGAAGCGGCTTAGATCTGATGTTTTGCAGTGACCCTGCCGCGAACATTGGCTGTCTCTGACCTACAACCCGATCGTTCGTCTCGGTCGGGTGTTACCTGTTCGCATCGTGGCCGCATTATTGTTTCACGAGACTGTTAAGACATGTTCAACGTATTCTCTCGGGTCAAACCACGGCAAGACACACTCTCTCCAGTCCGAGACTCTTCGAAAGGAAAACGTCCGTGTCCCTGATTGTTCGGCCATTGTGGCTGTGATTCGAGCTCGTCATTCTTCTGGAGGCCGCTTCCACAGGATGACCAAGTTCGGAACTCGAAGTCTTCATCAACCTTTCCCGGGCCGTCAACACCCATACCTCCCTTTGGTAAACCCATGTCTGGTTCAGCTGGCCAACGCTAGGGAGACCGGGACCGCTTGGTTCCGTGGATATATGGGAAAATATCACACAGAAAAAGAAAAGAAGAGGAACCTAGCAATACCCTGTACCAACTTCCATCGGCATGTAAATGAAGGTAATAAAGGCCGAGAACCCCATAGCAACATTGCCATCATTTGGTAGCTTGCCTAATGGGATTCTGGTCGTGTGAGACATGGAATTCCATGTGGTGATCGAGTTGGACCCCGAGAGGTGTGCCACTTGGCCTGGCCCATATCCGAAAGTCCGGATCGTCGGTCTCCATTACTGTGGATCTATGTTTTGGTCGGTTGAGCTGTCAATCCGACATAGCGTGGTTTGCTGCTCCGTGGAATGGAATCCCGATCATGTGAATAGCATGTCGTTGAGGGTGCTCGTCGTGTGGCACGTCGCGCTGTCGTCAGGTGGTGAGGTCGTGGTACTATTTGCGGACTAGCAGTTAGTTGAAAGCGACATTCCATGGCAGATCTAACCGTTTGGTACTTAGCAACTTGAAGTAGTGATAACACATGCTGTGGTTGTCGGCGATGGACAAAGTGGCTGGCGCGGAAGAGTGTGTCGTGGAGAGACACAAGGTTGTAGGGATATAATTTCAGTCAAGTGGAAGAGCTACCTCGGCAACCGCGTACGGTCGGGGAAGAGAAAAATAGGCAACAACGAAGCTGTTGACGTGCCAGATTGAGGTGGACGGGATGGACGTGGGTGGTTCAGACTCGGTAGAGGTAACTGAAGTACCCCGCCAGAGAAGACAAAGGCGGGCATGACGTGCTGCACTGAAAGATGCAATTGACGGGCAAGAACGCTCATCGAGAAGCACAGCAGGAGCAGACCCCTCAGTTGCAGAGATACACCATAAGCAGAAGGTACGTCCCGTCCAGCCTGGCTAGGTACGTACCTCTAGGCATCTCCCCACTGATCAGAGCTGGCTGATAAGTCGAAAGATCGGACCGGATTCCCAACAATTCAGTGGGCTTGTGGTTAAACGGCGTGATGCGTCGCTAAATCCCAGCATCGGGGCTGTTAATCAACCTAAAAAAATGGCGTTCCTCTCGAAAGCCCGGGGGCAGCTGTCTCCTGGGCTCAGTACCTACCTAGGGGGTTTTCTGACAGCTAGTGTTGACAGCTGGCGTCTTCCGGCTACGCAAATAAGGCTCTACTACTCCTTTCCAGTTGTCTTCACGTCCTGTGTTCGATTTACACCCACTCTTCTTTTTTTCTGCATTTAAGATGCGTTGCTTGATTCATCCTCCTGGCCACGTCTTGAGGGAACCGACGAAGATGGGAACAACTCATATGAAGCGGATCGATACAATGAAAGATGGAGATCAATAACGCGAACTACGGGGCGAGAATTCTTCGTCTCCTATCGCTTCACTGTCGAATCCTTGTCATAAGAAAGAAGAGTCGCCATCGCGAGCGCCGTTAGTTTCTGCTTCCATGGTTGATATCGTTCCTTCCCTAGAGTAACATGCAAGTAGCACAGCGAGGTCACGAAACCACATATGGGCCCGCAGTGTCATTGTCTCCTTCCCAGATTCCCGTGCACCTACATCCCTCCCCCTCATGAAAAGTACCACTCATTGAATGTTCAGTGGACCTGATTTTCCACTTTGTTCTTCCACAAAACTTTACATCTCGCTTCCGCTTCAACTCCTCTTCCCCCTTCCAAATCAGGACAACAGCTAATGTGTGTCATACCAGACTAGTTCTCGCCATCCCCTGGGTACGTCTATCTTTCTCCCAAATTCACCTCGCCCGGATACATTTCGCACACATACAGTACGACGGATGCGCCAAAATTGACCCGTCATTGCTGCCCAGATGCCGACGAATATCCTCCCACAAGCTGGATTGTTCAATCGGGTCGAGCTCAGCCTTCATCGAATCAATCGAAGGGTTAGAAACAGTGCTCGTAGTTGGCTCGTACTCTACCACCATCGAGCCGTTGGAGGCAATGGAACGTATACTCTCGAGCGGATCGCATTCCACCGCCATTGAGCTGATTGAAACGTCGGAAGGCGTGCTGTCAGTTGAATTGTCTTCTACTACCATCGAGCCGACTGAGGTGATGGAAAGCCTGCCATCGTCCGGATCACATTGTACCACCATCGAGTCAATGGACGGATTGGAAACCTTGCTCCCTGTCGAATCGCAGTTTACCACCATTGAACTGATCGAATGGTTGGAATCCATCTGTTCGATGGGATCGTACTCTACCGTCATCGAGCCGATGGAGGGGTTAAAAGGCGTGTTTCCGGTAGGAGGATCGATGGGAGGCGTGGACGACTTGTCTTTCTCCCTCGATACACGAGTGGCATGTGGGGTTTGCTGAGGCTTGGTCTCCTTCGCGGGATCTGGCTTGGATGCTTCAGGCTGGGGTGGCTTGGGCTGGGGTGGCTTGGGCTGTAGTGGTTTGGGCTGTAGTGGCTCTTGCTTGGACAAGGTCACTGGCGGTTCCTCTCTACCTTCTGTCTGGGCAGGAATCTCGGGAATCTTCTTCAACCTCATGGGAACCATGCGACAGGATTGTGTCTGTTGGTGCCCTTCCTTTTTCTCAGTCTGTGAAATCTCCCTTTTGTTGTCTGTTTTTAACGCAGATGGCGTCTCGCTCAGGTCGTGGTGAACAGGGACGGTATTCGTACCCTTCGAAGTTGATGTGCCTGTGCGGCGAATCGAAGGTGGCCTTTCGCTGTCGTTCTTCTCACTTTTCGCAACTTCTTCTTCGTTCTTCTGTTCAGCGGGAGACAGCTTCTTCTTGGAATTTTCCTGGTTAGCGGCGTGGTCATTGTCCTTCGGTTTTGCTGGAAGCTGAGGCCGGCACTTCAAGGCCACGGCTGGGTGTTTATCAACTGATGAGCCTGCCTTGACCTTGTCATATGTCGAAGGATGAAGTTGGGGCGTTCCAGGAGGAGGATGAAATGTTGGTCTCTTTGACTTCGAGATGGGTAGGCTCGGTTGGTGCTGGTGCTCGAGAGCTTTTGGTTCGACAGGTTGGGGCTGCTGTCGAAGACCGGCCGTGGACATGTTGGTCTTGGCGACTTCTTGGACTTCTGACCGTCGGTATATGGGCTTTGGGGACACCCGGTTTTCTGTTGATTTTTCCGTGACTTCCGGGGCTTTTTTCTGGCAATTTTGGGGCAGTGTCTTCCCTGCGGGAGACTCAGAGAGTGCGGATCGAACACCTTCCTTCTTCGTCTTTGTCTCGTGGGATTGAGATTCATAAAACTTGACGAGGTCTGAAACGCCCCGTGATCTATATACCTTGGGCTTCTCGTCCAACTTGTCGTCATTGCCAGAGACTCCCTCGTGATGATGGCTGGCGCCCAAGTGGAGACCGCGGCTGGCTGGTTGTGGCCGAGAACTCATGCGAACTCTCACCTCCATCTCGCTTTTCCGATGTTCGCACTCGATCAGCGTCTTTCCTTCGATGTCTTCAATCTCCACCTTGACTTTGTCCTTACCGCTCTTCTGTCTCTTCTCTTCCTTTTGCACCTTCTTGAGGTCATCCTCAAAGTTCTTCTTTTCCTCGAGCCACTTCCTTATTTCAAGTCTTCTCTCTTTCCTGGCCTTTCTCTCCTCTTCGAATCTCTCCGCCTCGAGCCTTTTTTCTCTCTTAATCTTTTTTTCTTTGAGCCTCTCCTGCTCCAGCCTCTCACGTTGAAGCTTCTTCTGTTGAAGCTTCTCTTGTTTCAGCCTTTCCTTCTCGCGCTTCTTCTCCTCTGCCTTCTCCATGTCAACATTACGTTCAATCTCAGCCTTCTCACGCGCGCTATCACCTTCCTCCGCCCACTCCAACGTTCTTCGTCTCATCTCCTTCACTATTTCCAGCCTCAAGGCCGAGCCACCGTCGCCCATATCCATACCAATAGTCTTCATCACCCGCTGAAGCATAATCAACTCCTGCTTTTCGAGTCCAGCGCCTGCTGATCGTCCACTCTTGGAGTCACCTGTGCGAAAGACATACTCCGCCGGCACCCTCCCCGCTTGAACAGGGAGACTCCATCTCAACTTGTTCTTGTATCTCTAGTACGTTAGAACAACGCTGGCAGATCTCGTCGCATCTTGTCGGAAGCCGTCCGGGAAGACTTTAGAGGCATACTCCTCGTAGTAGTTACGGCACTTGGGACAGAAGCCGTACACGACCTCGTGCAGGAGGGTTAGAGGGGGCCGGCATGATGAGCGGGTTGAGCGTTGCTGGTGGGCGACTGGCTTCAGGGACTTCAGACACCAAGTCAGGAAGGCATCTTTTACTTTGCTTCCCGTGTCGATAGTGGAGGGCCATGGTTGAGGAGGTGCTTTCGTGGGGGTGGAAACAGTAACCTCACAGGGAATTTCGCGCTTGGTTACATGGCCGCATACGGAGTGCAGCTGGCAAAGTTGGTGGCACATTGTATCGATGTGTTGTGATGGACTCTACCTACAGGTTAAGTGAGTGATGGGTTAGCGCACGGTTTGAGATGAAGTGGGTGAGCGAAGCTCTGTTGCTTACGGGAAGTTGTGGGCTTAGTAGTATTATTACCATCTAGATGGGTAGGTATACTCTTGTGCTAGTTGCTTGCGATCAAATATTGTGGTTAGATGTGTTAGGTTTGGCTTTGTGGTTGTGATGATGTCGGAAGAGGGAGACAGTTTTTTTGAGTCTGAAGAGTGCACACCGCAGCGGAATATACGTCACCAGGTCAACAGTCGCCTGCTTGTAAATTCTGGTTGTTGCGTTGATTCCATGGTTGCTAGCATCCAGGTTGATGTTATTGATTGTCTATACCATGAACAACTATGCTGTTCGTGCTGTTGTGCTCAGGCAGCCTGGTTCCAGAGTAGCATGTTGTTCAGGTGACAGGCTCTTGTTTAGAAAACTTCTGAACAGTGAGACTGGAACACTGGTCGGGCTAACCGGGAACATGAATAGGGCCCAAAGTTCGATGGCTGTTGATGAAGACTACATTCTCCGTAGTTCTATATAGTATAATGAGAAGAGGATTTGATTCTTCGCTCATAAATGTAGGTGCCCAGCGGAACAAGAGGCACCGGACGAGGGCTGAGACGTGTATGTCTGTAGCTCATCTCGGCACTGCAAGTAGCTGAGAACCTACAACTGCAACGTAAATAAGGTAGAGTCTTATGAGGTGCTGAGGTGAGATGTTTTATGGGCAAATAGAGGTACGAAAGTGACCCCCAAACATGGAGCAACCGCGTTGCCAAGGCGGCACTGGCTCGCGCGGTCTTGGCATCGGTCTTCTTCCGGATTTCCCTTCTAACGGTCATGCTTTTGCCTGTTTCCTCTTTGGCAACAAATTAGTTTTGGATGCCAGAAAACGCGCGACGAGTTATTTGTCAAGAACAATACCAGTCAGGTTATCAAGGATGCCTTGTTTTAACGAAATGGTTTACGGAAGCTATAAGAGATCGGACCAGTCGTGTTTTCAGTCCCGCGATAGGCGGGAATGATTTTTTGTTCAGTTTTATGATGATGTAGCTGCCCGCTGATGAAAGTTCCCAGGTGAACCAGGCGTCGTCAAGATACCACAAATCAGGTGTGGTGAATCTACCTAATATTCGCAACATTCTTGAGAAATTCTTGTGCCATCAGCCGTAGCCGCCAGGGCCACGGCGACTGGATATATCAACTTCCTGTCGCTGTGTGTGCCGCTCTATCGTGCAAAGCCAAATCTACCAAACGATAAAAAGCCGAAAAGCATGGAAACCAGGGACCATCCAATCAGTTGTATGTTTTGAAACCACTATCCAAAATAACGTTAAATGTATGGGAGCAAGCCTTGTGCCATCAGCCGCACCAGGCAGTGGATTGCCGTCTCGAAACCACAGTTTGGCAAGATTGTTTAAGAGATAGAAAAACCGGCAAGCAAAACCTTTGAGGTACCCTCTTCGTAGGAGAAGTTGGATGTCGTAAACTGTGAAACAAGAGGAATCATTCGTCAAAATCGTCAGTTCTGCCTGGACTTCGCATGTGCCGCCATTTCCCGTCTGGTGCTCCCATCTCATATAGCTTCTGAGTTACTTCTCTCCCTGCCATCCAATCCATCCCCTTACTCTCAACCTAGCCTTCGTCGACGCTCGATGACTCGCCATAAAAATGAGCATGTCACCGCACTCCGTCACGAAAAGCTCGGCAGGAACCGGGTCCAACCGGCGACCTCATAAACGCCCTTTGGCACCTCACGGAGACTGGAGAACATGAGAACCACCAGGGCGACTCGAGAGATCGCGTAGATGGTGCCGAAAAAGATGTTGATATATCTCGCATATCTGCCAATTCCCGACTCAAGACGCCTTTTCGACCTCTGGTATTGGCTGCGGTGACTCCATTTGTCGAGAGACACCTCTAGGAAACACTCGTGGAGTGTCTTGAGAACCCTAGGTTCGTGGTTTTCCAAGCCTGGGATCCCCATCGTTCGGGCAACGAGTGTGACCTGCTCTTCGTATTGGTGCCATGTTTTCCCGTCCAGGGACTCATAGGTGTCTTTGAGCTGCAACATACAATTCCAGATATTTTCCAGCAGATTTACCTGACGATTTTTCTCGTCTTCCAAGTTTGACAGGAGAGTCCTGAATTCCAGCAAGCTCGTCACGTGTTCGGTTATCTTTCTTCGCGTGTCTTCGTACTTGTCCTCTCCGAATACAGGTCTCAAACTTGGGTCGTCGATATTGAAATGCAAAAGCTGTACCCAAGCGTCAGGCAGCCTTTGAAGCGACGAAAGCTTGGTCAAAGTCTCTTTCCTGGCTTCAATCTGGTGACGGGAGAGACGACGGGTGCCGAGACGACTCAAAAAATAGGTGAAGGCCAGTGGAATGAGGGGTGACACTGTTGACACCACTGAAGTAATTTGCCACACGTACCGCTCAGTAATGGTCGGAAACCGCCATTTCCAGGCAATGCAATGGAAAGCCCCGAATACCACACATAATACTGCCATCAGAGGCCGAACCACTGGGAAGTCTCCTTCCATCCACAGCTCATCATTTCTGATTCGGTAATGCTGAGAGGCGAGGTCGCCGTACTTCAATGTGTGTAGCATGGGTGATGATAAGCGACTGAAGAAGGGCTCAGCAGACCGTTCAATGACTTCATTCGGCCGCCTTTCATCTACCACAATATGCAGTGATGTCGAATTCGAAATGTCTTTTGGCTTCCACCAGTTGACCAGATATGTGACCAGAGCGAAGACCGCAAACGCCGCTGTCCCAAGCTCAAGTTGAGTCACAGGTCGGTGAATTGTAGCTCGATTGATGAGATCCAAAATGAGTCGACTGATTTGGACCATCGAAAACAGCTTCACCAACCAATCGGCCTTACTTTTGTCATCAATTTCGGCCGCCGAGAGTCGAAGCTCCTGGAGCGGATGGCCTTGCCGCCATTTGCGCAAATCCCAAGTGGCGAGATGATCGCCTCGTAAGATCGAATATTCCAAGGCATCATTCGTCGTGAACCTCAACCCTCTTAGTCCCCCCATGTTGGCGTAGTAAGCGTGGTTGATGGTCCAATATTGGATTTCTTCATACTCTTGTCTTCCGTTCCGTTCAGTCATAGGGATGCGGCAACTTCGGGGGAGCCTTGGAGTATTGAAACTCCTGCTCTGGTTGTACTCGAGGTTGAAGATCTCCTTGCCGGTGGATCATTGTTATTGTCTTCCTCTGCGTTATTTTCCGCGATGTTTGGAGGCCAAAGGGTCAGAACAACCCACTTATGTAGTAGTTGCATCCACGGGCTGTAGGCGGCTTTCCATCTCCTGGTAACTATGTGTTCATGTAACTTTGGAGACGTATAGGTTGAACTCGACTCAAACCATTCTGGGTGACTCTCCATCATCTCAGCCATCAGATGAAGTATATGAAGCGCGAAGCAAAACTCGCATATACCTTTGGCAAAGATGAACTCGGGGAAGAGGATGGTAATGAACATCCACTTGACTTTCCGCAGAAACCGAGTCCATTTCGAGTCCGCAGGGATAGGGAAATTGAGATGTAGGACAGTCCAGGTACAAGCAAAGATAGTCGTTAGACACTCAAGGAGGAGCATTAGTGTCCCCCTTTGTGATGGATTGTTCACCCATCCTACTGCGTCCTGTAACCCATTAGACACAGTGGTGTTTTGGGCTATGACGGCTGTCGCAACCAAGGCAACCAGAAGCGTGCCAGCATGGTCGACTGGGGCCATGATTGCCTGATCGAAGTGTTGTTGGGGACAGCGTTTGACAGGTATCGAATGAAGCGATGACGTGTTTTTTGCATCGGCTATGGCCTAGAGGCGGCCAGGAGGATGGAGCAAGATCGGATGGGTGGATGAGTCTTGATAGCTGATGGGCTTCGCTTGTACTGCTGAGTGTTGGACCTTGCAGAGATTGTCAGAACTTGACGGGACAACGTGTTGGTGAAGGCGTTGAATGATGGAAGAAGGGGGTTGAGAAGAGGAGGACTGAACTTGACGAAGTGTATAGGCAGAGAAGGGAGCTATCGGTGTACTGTACTCACTTGTGCCAAATAACCTAGATGTCGATGATGGCTTCAACACTGAGGATACTGGTGTTTGCGCGGAGGGAATGATGTTGGGTATGATCGGTTCGATGGCAAGAGAAGGAATGAAAGAAAAGGAAGAATGACAAGGAGCCGGCAGCCCGTATAGAATCAGTGTTGAGATGAAGGGCGAGCACGAGTCGAGGGGAAAATGGTGAGAAAGGAGAGAAGGGCGAGCGAGGTATGAGGAATGATCGAGAAGAAAAAAAAAAAGAAAAAGAAAAAAAAAAGAAAAAGCGAGTTCGAGAATGTTGGTCAGGCTGTATTTATGTAAGAAGCCTCACCCTAAAGACTCATCCGCCCTGGTTCAACCGAATCGAGGTCCTCTCTCGGGGCTGGCTAAGCAGACATGACGTATGGCCGTGTCGACGGCAACCATAAGAACAGTCGCGACCAGGGCCAAGTGCAAGCCTTACGCCCTTCGCAAAGCTTCCGATTCGGTTGAGTGAGTGCAAGATCGGGCAATTCCAGACAGCCAACACACACTGGAGTACCGTATAATCTCTCGACATTGACTTTCGGGTAATCACTTTTCATGTAGGCATAAGTAGGGTTAAAGGTGAAAAGAAGCAGTGAAGAGACATGCACCTAGTTAACCGACACCTTTAACCCTGCTTATGACTACACAGTACATGAAAAGTGATTGCCCAAAAGTCAAGTTCGCGAGAATATACGGTACTCTTTTTGGCTCAGTCCGTGTGTACCATTTGTTGGGAACCAATGACACACGAAACGTACCTGATGTGTGGAGGCATTTTCCTCCATATATTTTCCTCCTCCTCACCGGCAACGGTGCGTTGAGTTCCCCGGTGGTGACTCAACACTGTACAGTCCATAGAGACTCGGCCCAAAAGCGTTGTCGTGTGCGTGCTGCTTGTTTTTGGAAATCGCGGCAACCGCCTCAGGCTTTTATGAACGGTAACCGAACCCTAAAACAAGCAACCACCTCCCCTGCGGACCCCACGAAGTCTTTCTAATGGTAGAGAGAGGTCGGACATTAGACACCGGACTGGGAATGGAACTTGAACATCGACGTCATTCTGTAGAGCCAAAGCATGTGTTTTGGCCTGTAACTTCAGGCCACCCACCACACACGGGTCTAGAACGTAGTAGACTTCAACTGATCTTGGGCACCAAGACCGCTCGCTCATTGCCGATTAGTGAAATCGTTGGGAGGGGAGTGGCGTAGCTGAAAACATGTAGATGAGCGGTTGAGCAGACGAACGCATTACGCAAGGAAAATAAACTCCGGGTGTGCCTGGTAGCTCTATCCGACAATTGAACAATGGTGGTGTGGTGGGAGTCGGATGCAAATCCCCAACAAACTGCGAAAGAGGGTAAGGAGCGCAACGAGTGCCGCGGTGGGGTGGTTGTAGGAGTTCGAGAGGGCATCGACGGGGACGAAGGGCATTGGAAGAGCCAAATTGTGGCGTTGGAGCCTGCTGAACAGAAAGGCGGAAGGGCAGGCAGAATCGGGACAATCGTGTCAGCTGAAACGAGGTGTATAATACTGCATTGTTTTCCTTGGACCAGAGCCCAACTAACCTTGCCAAACTTAAATGGCCCCTCCGTACATTACTTTCATGTATTGTACATGTCCGAAATTCCTCGTGTTCCCTGGTACAAGATCGTGGCTGAAGCACCTCCAGGTGGATAACAACAGACCCTCGAAAACAATGAACGCAGTGTCTTGTTGATTGATACGCCTTAGCCGCATTGCAACATCGCGAGAAATCGCTTTGTGAAGTGGTAATCGGGGTCAAGCGACAATGTGCCCCTTGATCCGCATCCAGTTGTATTTGACCAAGGCCGTGACTCGCAAAGAGGTATCACGCCGGGCCGGACATGAGCCAGGGGTTGGGGCTTAAATGGACAGCCCCTTTGCTGAAAAGGGGTGACGGATGTATGCTACAAAGGCCGTTTAGTTATAGCCATCTGCCTTTTTCCAGCCAAGACTGCACTGCCATGGCCACGAGGGAACCTACGACTTTTGAGCATAGCGCTTCCGAGTTGACTCGTATTTTGCTCGGACAAGTGGCAGAATGAGTTGCCAATACCTGGCTCTCAAGTGCTTGTACGAAGGGCTGGTCTTGTCTCGTAGATACTGATCGATCTGGATCTCGGTGGGTTGATGCTGCGGGAGATCATCAGAAGAAGGGTCAAAGAGGAGCATATCCAGCCTGATGTCGAGGGATGCGGGACTCGATGGGACGTTGCCAATTTCCCAGATCCAATACCCATCTATGATCGTTGGATGGTGGCCCTGAAGAGAGTGCATGATGGAGGATGGCGAGTAGTTCGTGATGTGTCTGTCGATGGAGAACGAATAGCAGACTCGAGGGGGGAGCGAAGACGGGGAAGGAGGAGAGAGGAAGAATATTGTAAATCCCAAATTTGGTTGATGATGAGGGGTAAAGTGCCCTGGATGCTGTCAGCTGGCAACTGCGGCTTTCTGTTCCTTCCATGAGAGGGAAGTGGAAGCTGTCAATCGCGGCATCAACTTGCATAACTCTGCAGAGACATTCTTTCCTTGAACGACTTGCATCTTTTTCCAACTTTAATTTTCCTTCCTTCCCCTTCATTTTCTCTCTCTTGCCTCAGTCGGTTCCGACGAACCAGTCCACGCGCCTTCCACTCCCGTCGTCGCGGCAGGTTCACGCAACGAACCGAAGCATCCCGGCCAGCAGAGCCGGGCCTTGACCACACTCAAGTTGCTCTTGTCAGGAGGCTATCCCGTGAGAGAGAACAGAACATGGACACCTTTACGATGTCCATCCGACTGGCTGATGCATTCCGTCCACCTCTATTGAACGGTTCCCGCGCCCAACGACGCGTTCGACCACCGGCTCTCTTACTCTCGACACAGACTTCTGACATCGAGTAGCAAAATTGCAAGGACTGCTCGGTCGGGTTATTCGAGAATAAATAGGCTGCCGCCTCCGGACCAGCGACCTCCGAATCAAGGACTCATCGAGTGTCCGGCCGAGGGCAGTCAGCGCCGCGCACAAACTATCCGCCACCCAGCACTTTCCTGGAACAATCGAGCCTTGAAGACCGCTTGGCTTAGAGACATCAAAGAGATCGCAGATCGTCGAGCGTCTGAGCTGAACGTTGGTAGAATCTCACCGCCCAATCGATGCAGTGGTTTCTGTGTCTCCGGTTGAGAATGTCGTCAAAATAGGCTCTAGTGTTAACTCGGGCCAAAATGGGTCCATCCAACCCAAGGCCTCTGATTGGGCGAGCAGGAGCTTTCCCTTGTCTTCCCCAGGACTCCTCTCGCCCGGCAGGCATTCTCAATCCACCACTTTTGCCAACGACGATGACGGCGACGACGACAGCAACACCGACACCACATCATCCCAACCACGACACACAAAAAGACGCGGCTCCGAATACAATGTGAGCAAAAAAAAAGTTGCCCAAGATTTGTCCAAGTTGATTACCAAGACGGACCTCAACAACTTAGATCCCCCATGTTGATCAACGGGCATGATTTAAAATGGAATTTCCGTTACACAATCCTTTCAGTCTCGACAGCGGCTTCCATCGGCGCGACGAGTCAGGTCCCAGAAAATTTGCACCTTCCTCATTTTGCAATGTTGGTGTCGTGCACTATCAGGCTTGGCAATGCCTTGGCGGCGGCTGGGCGTTTTTGTCACCCCCTCGCCAAGATGATGCCGAGAGCTGGGCATGGCTTGTTTCTCGTCCCTGCCTTATCTTCAAGCCGAAGGTAATGTACGGGAGGTCTGGGCATAGGTTGATCCCGTCTTGACTTTTGCCTCTGTGGCGCTTCCAGGCTTGGGGATTCTTTGAGTTCCTGATTTTTTTTACAATCGGTTGTCGCGATATTTTACGATGTTGTTGTGGTGTTGTGGTGTTCAGGTGAGCGAAGAACCGAGTTGGGTGCTCGGTCTGGGCATCGATCTCTATCAGGGCCAGGGCTGTGCTGATTCTATGGCGAACAAAACCGAGAAGTTGTTTGTCCAGGTAACCGACTTGGTAAAACATTATCCTGCATTGCAGTGTGCTGTCTTCGCCTTGCTCAGCCATTGCCTTTTTCGACACCGAGCAAGTATTCCCAAGCTGAATGGTTTTGGTGTCGCTGATGCCCCCAAATGCCTGGACCCCCATCTTTCGGCCAATGGAGTCGTGCCCCTGGTGTAAACACTAGCGGCGGGTCTTTGTATGTAAATTCCCCCATAGGTTCCGACCGGGATGTTAGTGCTTTGCTTACGCCATCCACAGATAACCGCACCGCAAACAATCCACAGATAACCGCAACGGTCCACAGTCAGTAAGGTATTGATGTGAAGAAAATAATTATCAGGATCTCAAATCTGATACCGGGCAACTTCTCGGTGTTATATCCCTACCTTACGGAACCACGATAAGACCACGCGTGGCTGATACGCCTCATGAATTCCTAAGACGGCTGCGTTGGGAAGGATGAATAGAGAGATTCATTCACACAATGGAATAACCTACATGTTAAGGTTACAGTGGCCGAGTGGCTACCCTGGTTTGTGTCGGCCTGGATGACGACGCGGGCACTGTCTTTTTACACTTTAACATTTCAAAACTCCAGGTCTTCGGTCGCTGAAAGAAGCTAGTGGGGCCGCTATTGTGCATGGCGCCATCCACTGATTGTATCTATCCTGTCCAATCAGTGATGAGCAGTCTCAGTCGCTCGCGTGCTGCCGGTGGTGTTCTGGACTTGCGCCCGTTCATCTCTTCTCTTTTTGGCTGCTTGGCCCATGTTTTTAGGCTCAGGGTTGGGGTTAACTATGAGAGGCTTCGAGAGGCTTCCTCCTCATGCTCGTCCCTTGTTCGTCTTCCCCGCAGACTGAGGAGGACTTGGGGGACGATGCCACTCAACGTCTGTCTTATCTCAGCCACCCGCACTCGTGTCTCCCATTCGCTCACCGAGTTCGTCTTTTTATTTCACCTTTATAAGTCACACAAAAGAAAGCTTGGCGTCCAGGAGCCCCCCAAGTAGGGACCCAGTGCAACACAAACACCCCGGGGCAGGAAAAAGAGAGCCGCCTCCATGCGACAATGTACAGACCTGACTAATGGAGTCGTGTTATCTGCCTGGCTAACGCCCAGCGGCGGCCCATATCGGTACATAGTCGTGTATATGGATTGGAGCTGAGATTCCTGGTGACGGGACGGGACTGGGAGATGGGGACATGGGATGCTACCTGGTTTGCAGTTTCCTCGCTTCCTTCCCCATGGGAACTCGGGTTGGTTCTCGGCCGGATTGGAATTATAAGTTGAAACCCTCTCCCGTGTTCCCATGGTCGTCGTCACTTTTTCGGTCTAGACTCCGTCTCGTTTCCATTCTGTCACGCGCCTCTGTCTCTGAACAGTCCGTCCCCGACGTCTCTTGTTCTTCCCGGTGCCTACCACGGACTGCGACTTGGTCGAATCCCGTCCCAACTGGCATATAGAACCCCAAGGCCCAAGTTCGCAGTCTGCTCAAACCGATTGCGACAACAACAACAGCAACAACGTCAGAACGATAGAGTTGGCCCATCATGACCTCCAACTTCAATTTCTTTAAAGGGAGGAGCGACGAAAAGACCACACCAGCCTACGGACAAGACGACGGAATTGAACGCGGCGCTCGTTACAGCAGCGAAAATGGCCAAGTCGTCGACGAAGACGGTGATGGCGATGGTACTGATGATCTCCATCGCGCCATGAAGCCGCGCCAGTTGAGTAAGTCTTTCATTTTTCTTCCCCCAGTCCAACATGCCACAACACAATGGCTAACAAAGTGTTTTTGTTGTTGTCTAGACATGATGGCCATCGCTGGCGCCATCGGCACAGGTCTGATTATCGGCACTGGCACATCGCTCAAACTCGGCCCCGGCTCCCTGCTCATCGGATACCTGATCATGGGAATCTGCGTCTACATCGTCATGGTTGCTCTCGGCGAGATGGGTGCCTGGCTACCACACAAAAAGTCCTTCTCCGGTTACGCTACACGTTTCGTCGATCCTGCTTTCGGTTTCGCTACGGGATGGAACTACTTTTTCAAATACGTGATTGTGCTGCCCAACAACCTGACGGCTACGGGAATTATTCTGCAATATTGGCGACCGGACATCAATGTGTCTGTGTGGATCACGGTCTTTGGTGTGGCCATCATTGCTGTTAACGTACGTTTCCCCCCCCCCCCCCCCCCTTTTTTTTTTCCGTTCTCGCTAGGGAGCAGCAAAGCTAACAGGTAACAAACAAACAGCTCATCCACGTCGCCTTCTTTGGCGAAGCCGAATTCTGGATGTCGCTCATCAAAGCTCTCATCATTGTCATGCTCATCCTCCTCTGCTTCATCATTGCCCTCGGCGGCGGTCCCAACCACGTGCGCACCGGTTTCCGATTCTGGCGAGACCCCGGCGCCTTTGCCCAGTATTCGGCTTCGGCAGGCGACGACAAAGTGGTGATCCCCGGTGCCACCGGCCGTTTCTTGGGTGTCTGGGCTTGCATGGTCCAGGCCACCTTTGCCTACCTCGGCACTGAGCTCGTCGGCGTCGCGTTCGGCGAGACCCCCAACCCCCGCAAGAACGTCCCTCGCGCCGTCAGCCAGACGCTCATGCGTATTGTCTTCTTCTACCTCGGTGGTATCCTCGTCTTGGGCATGGCCGTCAAGTACACGGACCCCCTGCTCGGCGCTGTCAAGAAGACCAGCGGTCTGGCTTCCCCGTTCGTCATCGCGGCCAAGAACGCTGGTATCAACAAGCTCGACGACGCGGTCAACGGACTGTTGCTCATCTTTACCGTATCAGCTGCCAACTCGGATATCTACCTTGCCTCGCGCACCCTCTGGGCCTTGGCCAAGGACGGACAGGCGCCGGGCATCATGAACAAGACCAACAAGCGCGGTGTGCCTGTGCCGGCCGTCATTCTGTCCTCCTTGTTCATTCTTCTCGGATACATGAACGCCAGCAAGGGATCGTCGACCGTATTTGGCTACTTTGTGTCGCTCGTTACGGTCTTTGGGGCCCTGAACTGGGTTGCCATCCTTGTTTCGTACCTCTTCATGATCCGGGCGATGAAGGTGCAGGGCGTTCCTCGCGAGGTCATGCCGTACAGAAACATTTTGCTGCCGTGGGGTGCCCCGATTGCGCTGTTCCTGACCATCCTCATTATCATTTTCAACGGATTCGGCGCGTTCTTCCCGCACTTCCAGGTGGACAAGTTCTTGACGAGTTACATTGGTATTCCGGTGTTTTTGATCAACATTGGATGGTGGAAGGTATTCAAGAAGACCAAGCGGGTGAGGCCGGAGGATGCGGATTTGGTTACTGGGAGGAGGACGTTTTAAGTCCTGGTCCAGGGAAGGGAGTGAAGAGGGTGTGGACGAAGAGAAGCATAGAGATGCATTGAAAGAGTTGCGATGTGTTTTTGCAAAAGGGAAGGGAGAAGGTGTTGTAGATACCCATGAATGATGTGAATGATTATGATTCCAAGCTATGATCCTCTCAAGATGACTTCATTGTGCTTCCCATGTTTGGCACTTCTTGATGATTTCATCGTCTTCATGTGGATGGACAGGAGTTGTCGGTTGTTGTGCCAATCAGAGGTCCTCAATAACCCCCAAAAAGGTGCGAGGGATTTTCCCTGTGCTAACCCTACCCCTTATCCACTTCCCCCGCATATCTCCAGATTCTGATCGGGAATTCAGATGGAGTCGCAATTGTTTTTCGACGTCGTGCAAATGTTTATTCACCAATCTTTGATCTCTCACCCAGTCAAACAGAAAACGTCATAAATATTGACTGAAGTGTGTTGGTATCTCCCGTCTGAGCTGTGACGGACGGACAACTTTGCGCGCGCGTCACTGTCTGCGTGCGATTCCTTGTCGCATCGTCGCATCGCATCGCAAATCGCCATATTCTCTCTCCCGCATCCTGCATTGCGTCATCTTCTGTCCGGCGCTGCCCAACCAAACGACCACCCCTCGAGTCCCAATCACGATCCCTTCCTGCTCGCCCAATATCCCGTGGCCTTGATTCTGAATATCTCAAAAGCAACCCGCTCCCCACGATAATCCCTTCAAGTCAGGTTTTGATAACTGTCTGCCAAAACCCACCACTTGATCTCAACGACTTCACCACCACCAGCCCAGCCCAGCCCACTATCAACATCCAACAGCATCCATCATCCTCTTCATTAGATCTCAAACTTAACCCGAACTCACTGCCCAAAATGCCGCGCCCACAATACACCACATTCGAAGCCTCCGACGGCGCCCTCATCACCCTCAAATCTTCTCTCCCCATCACCAACCCCGACCCATCCTTCATCCCGGACGCACCGGTCCTGACCTTCAACAGCACAAGCACATCCGGATCTGGTCCGCGTGCACGAAGTGATTCCAAAGCCTCAGTCATCGCCGAGGAAGGACCCAACTATTCCCGCTTGCTCTTACTTTTGCACGGCTTTTCAGGATCCAGCGACTACTTTGATCGCAACTTTGACGAGTTGGCCAAGAACCATTGGGTGGTTGCGTGGGATATGCGGGGGCACGGGAGGAGCGGTCTTGTGAAAGCGAGGAAGGGTAGATCTGCGGCTGGGGCTGCGGCTGGTGCTGGGGATGGGGATGGGGAAAGCGCAGGCGCAGACGAGCATGAGGAAAATGACGAGAAGAAGGAAAACGGGGAGACTTACGAAGGAGGATACCACGTCGCCCGCCTCGCCACGGACTTACACAACCTCCTCACATTCCTCAAGACTTCCCGGCTTGGTCCTGGCGGTCCCTCCCCTCAGTCCCAATCCCTGCCGCAGTCCCTACCGCAGCCTCCCTTGGAAGTAATTGGCATCGGGTGTTCCATCGGCGCCGCCATTCTCTGGACATACATCGAGTTATTCACCGACTCTGATTTCAGCGGATTCATTTTCGTCGACCAAGCCCCTCTTCAAGATCGCTCCCTTTTCGATTCCTGGGACTCCACCAAAGCTCATAAAGGATGCTACGACGAAGCGACGATGCTTGGTGCGCAGGCAGCTTGGAACAAACCTGCTAACGAGAGGCATGCTACGCACCTGGGACTGGTAGATGAGTGTTTAGGATACAGACATAAACCGCTCCCTACTGACAAAATCTCGGAGGAGGAGAAGAAAAAAGATAAAGAGTTCTTTACGGGGATAAGTGCACTTTGTCCGTCGGGCGAGTGGTTGGCGAAGCTGATTGCTGATCATACGAGGTATGATCACCGGGACGCGTGCGAGGGGATTAGTAAGCCGGTGATGGTCATGGGCGGAACAAGGAGCGGGTGTTTTAGTTTGGAGGGGATGGAGGAGGTGGTGAAGCGGGCGAAAAAGGGGGGGAATGAGAGGGCGGAGACGAGTTGGTATGAGAGTGGACATTGGTTGTTTTGGGAGGAGGCGGAGAGGTTCAATGGGGAGGTGTTGGAGTTTGCAAAGAGGTGTTGGAGTGAGTGAGTTGTGGTTGATCGGGGAGTCAGGATGGAGAAAATGGATGGTGATTAATGGGGATGGAGCTGAACGAGAGGTGGTTAGGGGCGAGTTGGACATGAAAGGCGATGAGTTGAGGTGACTGGTCCGGTCCTATATACATACAATCGAGAAGAGATTCGTTCCGCTAAATATTACAAAGACCTCCATCATCAACCGTCAATAACACTCCTCGCCCAAATTTTGCGAGCAGCAGCCCTCCAGCGCAAGCCTCCGTACCTCCCCTATTGCCTTCCTCACCCCACCACCACCACCCGACTCCAACTCCAAAACTGCCTGTCTCGTATCCTCCATTCCAAGGCCCGAAAAAGACACAATGATTTGCCTTATGGTCACAATCTCCATGGCCACATCCCTCGCTTTCTTCCCCATCTTCTCCTTCGCCTCCCTCCCAAAGTCCGGATACTGCAGGTCCACCTGCACCTCAAGCTCAGAATGTTGCTCATGTCCACTACTATGCCTCCACAACCCAAGAACCTCCTGCAGCTGATCAAACAGGTTACTCGCCATCATCATCACCATGCACATATGCAAGGCAACCGCCCTATCCGTCGGGGGCGCACACACCGCCGACACTCTAAACGGGGGCAGCCTCACCGGCTTCAACTCTTCATCAAAGTGGGGAACCGAGTTCTTCTTGAGGCATTTGCGCATGTGGCTCAGCGACAAGTCGTAGACGTCACATACCCTCTGCGCACACGACAGAAGCAAGAGGATGGTGGCTTGGTCTTGGCCCAGCGGCACGCCCGTTCCCGTTTTGGGAACATCAGGAGCGTCGTCACCGGATAGTACTCCTGGGCCGGAGCGCGGGTAGAGTTTGCCGACAATGTCGATGAGTTCTTGGGTAAGTTGAAAGGTGTGGTCGATTGCGAGTAGCCGCTTCTCGAGAACATCAACGCGGACGACGGGGGTGAGGGGTGGCAAACCGCAGTTGCTGTAGATTTGTGGGATGAGGCAGAGGTGCTCGTACAAGGAGACGTTGAGGTTGGCTAGTTGGCGGACGGGGGAGTAGGGAGTGAGAGCTTGGGGGTTGGAGTAGTTGACCGAAGGGTTGGCAGAGGGGTGGAAGAGGATGGGGTCGATATCGCTGTTGGAAGTGGAGCTCATGAGGTTTAGAGGAAGTGGAGGGCCATGAGGAGGGAAGAATGGGTCGGGAGCTGGAGGGGGAAGGAGAGATTTGTCGATATCCAGGAGTGACCAGCCTCGAGAGGGTGGGAGAAGAGGGTCGCAGAGGAGGAGGTTGTCCCAGTCTATGCCTGTAGTGGTGTCCAGCGAGAGAGGGCAGAGGTCGGTGCAGGTGGTTGATGGATTGGAACATGAACCGCTTGAGGGCTGTTGTAAGTCGAGCTGGTTACTGTCAAAATATGAGGAAGCATAGAAGTCTTGGTCCAGATCGGTGACATTGAAGAGTTGAGTGTCGGTGGGTGTGACAGTAGTGGTGGGTCGCGGGTTCTCCAGTGTACACGACGCACTCTCCACCTCCACGGAGTTGGTTTTTCCATTCTCGACTACTGTTGGAGCTGTCTGTGTTAACGCCGGGCCTGTGGAGGCAGGCGTAGAGGTAGCATCGGCATTTATGGCAATGTCGTGATTTGATGGTGGTGGTTTGGAAGCACCAGCGGGTTTTGGAATCACGGTTCGGCGTTGGCGTGGGCTAAAGACGCAGGCCACCTTAGCGCGCTCACAGCGGACACATGGCGCTGGCTGTTTTGATGTTTCGTCCTTGGTGGTCTTGTAGTTGTCTTGTCGTGGACATCGCAGTTTCTGTGAATGGCATCGGTCGCATGCCAGTCGACTTTGGAGGACTGGTTTGCGAGGCATCTTGTCATTAGCAATCAAGACAACAACAAGGATGAAGACGAAGGAGAAGATGGAACAAGATGGAGCTGGGGACTTGTGTGTCGGATTTGGCTGTACTTCTGTACCTTGTCTCTGATGGAGGAATCAGGCAACCACCCACCCCATCACTGACTTCATCCTGTCAGCACTTGGCGATTCGAAGCGCTGTCGATTGGCGAGCATTGGTGAGCAGGAGGCAGACAGGGTAGCAAACGCCGAGGGGTTGATAACGCCGAATGTGGTTGACCAATTGAGGGTTGGGAAAACGCCATGGTCGGAAAGTCAGCTTATAAATGAGGTCAATTCGATGTTAAAGGGGAAACAAAGAGTGTTTGCTGCAAAGACGAAGGAAATAAAAGAGGAAAAGAAAAGATGAACTGAGTGAGGTGACCATCAAGGTACCCGATCCGTACCCCGCCATTATCGTTGTTATCTTCTGGGGGAAAGTGGAGTACGCTCGTACACGTTATAGCGCCCAAGCACTGAAGCTCGGATTGTCATAGCGCTTCCCGTCACTGCCCCTCATCTCATCACGTCCACCCTTCCTTTTTCTCCAACCTCAACTTTTCCGACATCATCTTCAACCTCAATATTGGCGGCCAGCAACTGATACGAAACTCCACGGACACGGAATGGAAATAATAATTCAAGCAGCAAGACACCCACAAAACGATGGCCGCCCGATACGAGAGACGCGGCGGCTCATTGGGTCAGCCAACCCCACCACCGATTGAGGCTTGCGCGGCCGCAGCGACGCCGTCAGCTTCACGTGCATACATTAGTATGACGAGACATATCATCGACGACCATGACTCTTCATGACTCTTCTTCTGCAAGAGTCATGGATATTAAACAATTCCCCTTGACGGTTTACAACTTCTATTATCCACGGCCACACAATGGCGCCCACCCTTTGCTCCAAGTGCTCGACCTTCCGCTTCTACGACCTCTTCAACGACGATGTCGTCTTCCACTCAGACCTCAACTCTCTCGTCCAATTGGCAAAAAAGTGCGAGAGCTGTAGCTTGTGGTGGTCACAAGTTCAACGGACCTGCACCAAAGAGGACATTGCAGCTTGTCTAGCCAAGAAGTTGCCCGCCAACGCAGTCAAGTCCAGCGACAACGGCGATTTCAAGATCTACCTCCGCGGCGAATGGCATCCCGCAGGCACCGCCAGCGTTCCCGACCAGATCTGGCTCTCATGCGGCGTTGTTGTCTCAGCAGTTGGCCATGATGCGCCAAGCAAACTACAAACCAATCTTGTCGTCTTTGCTGACCCTGTCGCCGCTGGAGCTGACCCTGCCACCACCGCAGGCGGCTTGTTCGCGGGAAGATACAGCACCAGTGCTGTCCACCCCGAATATCACGCGACCTTTGCGAAGAATACGTTGGCGAACTGTCGTACAGGACATGGAGTTTGCAATCAGGCATGCCCGCCCGGGACTCGACAAATGCCGACGAGGGTCATCGACGTTGGAGATCAGACCTTGCCAGCGGCCAAGAGGGTCACGCGGATTGTTTTGACCAAAGACCTAAAGCAGCCACAGCCATACACGGCTCTGTCCTACTGCTGGGGCAGTGGCACGCAAGCAATGCTCAACGACACGAACTTGGCCGACTTCCTCAAGCTCCTCCCCGAATCCCAGCTCAGCAAGACTCACGTCGAAGCCATCGACCTCACCCGCCTGCTCGGGATTCGCTACCTCTGGATCGACGCCCTCTGTATCATTCAGAAAAATCAAAAAGACTGGGAGGCGGAATCCAAGCGCATGTCCTCGGTCTACGGCAACGCTGAACTGACCATCATTGCTGGCCGGTCCCCCGATAGCGGCCTTGGTTTCCTGACCACCAAGAAACACCCAAAGCCAGTCCCCATGAGAGCCGGCCCAAATCCCCATACCGGCGAGGGCCCAGATCTCGGAACTGTCTACCTGACAATGCAACGTGGAAAGTCAGTCGGGCCCGTAGATACCCGAGGCTGGTGCTTTCAAGAAGCTCTGCTCTCGAATCGCGCCCTTGTCTTTGGAGAAGACCAGGTATTCTACCAATGCCGCCAACACACGCGGTACGAAGACGGATGTGTAGACGTCGACGTTAGCCAGCGGGGACAGGCTCTAACGTCTCTCCATCCCGGCACCAAACCCGAAGTCTTGAGGAGATGGTATCAGATGCTCGTTTCCTTTACTCCCCGCGCATTGACAGAGCCGCACGACATCTTTGCTTGCATCGTTTCCGTTGCACTGATTACGCACGGCGTTCTGAAGTCGAGGTACCTGGCTGGGCTATGGGAATGTGATATGCCAAGGGGCCTGCTGTGGAAATCCCGCTGGAGTTATGTCAGTCGCAAACACTTCTTATCCATCGAGAAGCCGTTAGCATCCCCCTTCACCAAACGTCCGGGCGAGGTTCCAGGTAAGCCAGTGATTCGTGCCCCTTCATGGAGCTGGGCGTATGTGACAGGGCCGGTGTTCTGGGATACCAACCCACGTATTGAGTCAAGATGGATTGATGCCAAGAACATTTGCATTCGACCACGAGATTCCAAAGGGCTGTGGACCAAGCAGTCAGGGGCAGGGAACCCAGATGTGCTGTTCATGCCGGCGCTAGAGCTGCAAATCTTTGGCAAGGCTGTCGAGGTTCGCTGCACCAAGGTGATGAAGAAACACACGCCGTTGACGCCGGAGGGTATCATGTTGGAGCCGGTAAAGTCAGCATCGAGTGGACCGGCCAAATCGAGCTACATTGCGCTGGGGTATCTTGACTTCCCCAGTGATCCAATGCCGGCGAATATCTGGTGCTTACTCGTTGTCGCACATGAAGGATTACTGCTTACCCGCGATGGAAAGGGCAAATTTCATCGCGTGGGCTGGTTTGCGGTGCAGGATGGGAAGCAGTTTGAGGCCGTCAAGGAGACCGCCGTGGACTTGGTGTAGAGTCCCGACGGCAATGGTCTGTTGCTTCTTTGCGGCGACGTTGCTGGCCAAAAGTTCCCGTTTGTATGTGGCTCAATCTTGCGTCATTCTCTGCTTCGCTGGTTAATCCGTCTTCACAAGCGATGACATCTTAACCATGAGTGTTGTTCCCGTCGGAGTTGGCATCCCGAAAACTGTTGTCCTTCACAGTTGAGTGACATAGCGCCGTGATGTTCGGCTGTTAGTAAATAGCTGCATGGCCCCCCTGTCCACTAACACCAGTGCATGCCGATCAGGGTACCATGGCTGCTGCAGACTGAAATTACTCTTGGGATGCCAACTGTCATGCTGCCACGGTACGGTGCATGTCTCCAATCTGACGATGCAGTAGCGTTGTTGATGGAGTCGATTAGCTCAGTTACAGGGTCGCTGTCGTTACTACACTCGGACAAACATCAACAGGCTGAGAGGGCCCTTCAACCGCAACATGTACAACGAATGCAACCCCTTATGCCACCTGGATGCCGTGTACCCACCCGAGCAAGGTTGCTCGCATGTGCGTGGGAAGTGCGTCTGCGTCCACATTGCAGTCCACATGGCGGCTGCTGCATAGGGTCTTTTTTAGTTTGGGATATCGTCGCTTGTCCCAAGCAGAATCCCGGGAGCGGCCTGTGGATTTGGGGTTGCGGCTTATTATCTGAAACACGTACAATTTCCCTTGGAGGTTGCCGCCGCCGCCGGTGGACATTGGACCTTGGAGGAGTCGGCGGGTTGGTGGTGGTGGTGTTGTCATGGCCTCCATCTGCGGACGCTCTCTTTTTATCTGATGACAACAAATGGCCCTTGGATGTGTATTTCCCCGTCTTCATCTCCCCGGATCTCCGCCGCTTTGATTTCGGGGCCCCAGCTATATCGTCTCTTTCAACTCCAACCGGGAATATCCTCAAACCCAGACGGGTCATGACCCTGGCCGCCGACACGTAACCCCGTACAGAGTGTTTGATCCTCTGGTCGCCCAAGTTGGTCGCATTTTGGAGACGGAGCCTTTTGAAGAATACAAGCAAACTTACAACTCCGAACAGAAAGGCACAGCAAGGGGGCCGGGGGGTGCTTCCATCCCAGACAAACGTTTATTATTCGACTGGCGAATCGGAGAATTAAAACGGCCTGGAACTCATCACCATCCCATCACAGTCACACCTCTTTTGGGCTCTGTGCTTGCACCACCACTGCCGATGTCATCACACTGCACTACACTACAGCAAGCAGCAGCACCGGCATAGCATAGCATAGCATAGCATCGCCTTACAGCAATCCGGATTCAGCATACAGCACCCCACAGACAGATCGCCATGCCAAAGCCACCATCACACCCCCGATACCAAGCCGTGGCGCGGTCGGAACCATATCCGAGCAGTGCCAACAGGAACGGTGGCGGTCATAACAACCATGATGGAGGTCACGGTCACAGTGGGCGTCATGGGAGTACGGGAATGATGTATCACCACGCCGCGGGGTCAATGAACACCACAGTGGGAGTGACACCCGGGGTTCCACCACCGGCGCATCAACAATCAGCGGCCCCGCCGAATTACGGGTACGGCGGGAATCCCGGGATCGGCGCCGGGTCTGGGCCCGGAGCGGGGACTGGAATGATGAACCCTCAATATGCGACAGCAACAATAACATCAACTCCACGGACAATACCTAGGAATTTTGGCGGACAACAATCGTCACCATCGTCGTCGACATCGACTTACGGACAGCAGCCGTCTTTTGAATCCTTACAGGGGCCGAATCAGCCTCACAACAGCAGCCCCTCTTCAGCGCCAAACTTTCAGCTGACAGGCTATCAGCACCAGAATCATGCCCTACAACAACAACATTCTCAACACCAACAACACCACCAAGGCCCCACTATCGTCAACCAAAACGCCGCCCACCCAACCCACTTTCCTCCCCAACCGCAACCACAACAACAACAAGGATATCAACCACCAAACCACCACCACCAACCACCTCAAACTCAAGTAGCCCACCCAACCCAAAGTCCAATTCCTAATCCGAGCTCGTCCTACAACCCCCGCCCAACCCCCCCTTCCCCAAGCCTGCACAACCCTACAACCTCCTGGACCCCTCGCGAAGACGCCCTCCTTCTCTCCTCGCGCGCCTCGCAACTCCCCTGGTCCGAGCTGCAGCGGCTACACTTCCCCGGTAAGACGGCCAACGCCTGCCGCAAGCGACACGAGCGTCTTATCGAAAAGCGCCAGGCCGAAGAGGAAGTTGATGAGGATCGATTGGCGCGCATAGCAGGGGAATATGTAAAGATGAGAGGGGAGCTATGGCAGGGGTTGGCGGAACGGATAGGGATGGATGTAAAAGAGGTAGAGGAGCGGTGTTTGGGGATGGGGGTGGGGAGGTTGAAGGTTGCGGGACGGAGAGGGGGGAGGAGGAGGGCGTCGTATCCTGTTGTTGCGACGGGGATGGCAGGAATGGGGCCAGTGTCGACAGTGATGCCGATGATGTTCAGTCAAGGTCAGGGCCAGGGACAGGGACAGGGTGATGCAGAGGAAGGAAGGAATTACACGCATAGTCCGGTACAGATTGGTTCTACGGGCGCAGGGCAATCAATGATCGGACCAGGGCCGGGACATGGAATGGGAATGGGCATGCTACCACCGCAAACCGCACCACCACTTACCACTCTGGTGCCGATACCGCCTCCTACCACCGCTGGACACGGGTACAACGTCAACACGTCTGCCTTACCGACCTCTTCAACACCGGGCATTCCACCACCACCACTACTTCCTCTGATGCAGCAGCAGCAACAACAACAGCAACAACCAAGAGTGGCGTTTGGTGGGTATCTCAACGGACGATCAAGTTCAAGAAGGCCGACGCATCCTTTACCTTATTCTTCTGCGCCACCATTAGCATCAGCATCAGCATCAGTATCAGCATCCACGCCCGTGGGTGTGAGTGCGAACACCAACCCGCCCGGGAGATTTGATCAAGGACAAAGACAAGGTCGAGGTCAAGGACAGCAGTGGCCTCGACAAGGAGGCGTGAATCCCGCCGGGTCCGTGGGAATGGGGATGGGGATGACGGTTCCTGCTGCATCGACGACAGGACCACCGACGCCACAGACGTGGCATAGTGGTGGTGGTGGTGGTGGTGGTGGTGGTGGTGGTTATCCTCCGTCTTCGTTTGGATAGAGGTAATGAATAGGTAGTTTCTCATTGTGATGGTCGTCATGAGAATGATGCATGGCCGTGTCCTTGAAGTAAAAGAATAGCGTGTTTGTACATAGAGGTAGAAAGGGAAAAGATAATGGTCAGTTATAGAGATCTCTTTGATTGTCCTTAACTCGCTTTGTAAAACTAAAAGTATCTCATCATTTCTTGTTGTCGTTATCACGACTTTGACCGTTGGTGTTGAAGACGGTGACCCACAATAAATGATTGACCCAGGTGGAGATTGACTTAACTGCCTGCCACTCTGCCACTTGGAGACATTTCGGGCGATTTGACTAGAGGCACCCATATCGGCAGGTTCCTTGTGTGTTTAAACATCTTTCAATATCAGACCGTGAATTCATTTTCTGTCCTTGTTAAGTCACGGGACTGCCACTCGCGGCTACCTACCTCAGCGCTTCAGCTGGCCGCCACCTGTGCCGCAATGCACAGCCCTGGGACTGTGTCACCTTCCCGTCCTTCGCTTCTCTTCCGAACTCAACCCTTTTTTTCTTCCCACCGATGGTCTCACGACATCCTGTACCCCCTTACACGGCGTAAAACGACCTCCAATCTCGGACACTGCGCTCCTGCGGCACACATCAAAGACAACGACCACAAAATGAAGTTAAATATGGTGGCACAACAGCACCCATTGGATGGAAAATTCCCGGTGTGAGACTTGAACGAATGTCGCCTTGCACTCAGCAACCAACCCTTAAGATGGCGCTGCCCCCACACGAGCTTCGCGCGCGCTCCCGCAATATAATGTCGTTAGTTCTACCGTGTTCAAGCCATAAGTACTGGCCTTGAGTCGGCCCAACACCATGGCCCATCAAACATCACCACCAGGCGAGGGCTGCTACGTCCCGAGTCATACCACCGATCATCCATACCAATATGCTCAAAGGCAACCGGGGCCAGACGAGTCCCCGAACTGGGCCGACGGTCTAGAGGTTGTACCATACGAACAACTCAAGGATACACAACACTGGCCCGAGGTTCGTCAGGAGGAAGTGGGCAAGGAAGTCACTCCGGACACTGCTCTGGCCAACAACTGGAAATGGAAGGATGAACGCGATCAGTACAATGCTGGCCGAGCACCCGAAATTGCCGACACTCAACCCAGTGCCAAGCCGAACCGAAAACGATTATGCATTATACTAGGCAGTGTCCTTGCGGTTATTTTGATAGTCGCTGCTATTGTCGGCGGTGTGGTCGGGAGTAAGGCGGCTCGGAACTCGAAATCAAGCACAGCTCCGGTTCTCGATAGCGGTGGTGATGGTGGCTCTTCGACCACGATACCGACTCCATCACAAACAACGACGGGAGGAGGGGCAGTCTCAACTACTGCTGCTGCTAACGCTGGAGCAATTCGTTCAGGTTCACCTTTTGCCGTCGCCAGTTGGCGGAATGACAAGGGCAACGTTGCGCTCTACTTGTTCTACCAAGACAAGAGCAACGATGTCTACTACATCAAGCACGACGGAGCCACGTGGGGAAAGCCTGTCAACATCATAACCGGTCTCAGGAGAAACACCCGTCTAACCGCCACCATCATTCTCAATGGCTTTGGTAACCCCGCAAGGGTATGGATGTTCAGCACCACAGCCGAGACCATTTCTAGCTGCTAACACGTCTCCAGCCTCACGTTATCCTGACCTACATCGGTGCCGGTTCTACCGTACTAGGAATGGCGATCAACGAGAACAATAATCCTGCTGTCAGTGACGACCCCAACATCAAAAAAATGTCGCTTGAGGCCATGGCCAATTCAAGCACAGCCAGCTATTATCCCGCAACCGTATACCAAGCTGCGAGCGGGGAACTCGGTCAGGCTCGTATATTCATGCTTCAGTGGCTTAACAGGATGACGGGGATAATGGCGCTTCCTGGCACGAGCTTGGCCATGGTACCCATCTCCACTCGCTGGGCAAACTATTCAACATCGGGAGGTATTGTGGTGTGGAGCGCCCAAATTGCCATTCACTAGCATGCCCGAATGGCTTAGTCACATGTGGGGCCCACTAGGGCGCCACCACTATGTATTTTAACCCTCCACAATTCTTTTCCTTCCTAGTTCTTAACTTAGCACAATCATTACGCTTCTTATACCTACGAGTCCAAGAGGTTATAAACCCTCTGTACGCAATCTTTTATATTGCAATACTGCGTATAACTATTTATAAGTCCTAGAAAATCAATAAGAAGGTAGGCAATACCTTTTTGAGCGCAAACTAATAAGAATAAAAAGACGAATAACACCAGGCGCAAATTAATAAGAATAAGAAAACGAACGATACTAGGCGTAAGTTAAGATTATAATTTTATAATATTGGGTATATATTATATATAAATACTATTTACAAATCCCCTTTCCTTTTATAAATTTCTAAATATTTTTATTAAACGGTAAATAAGAATAAAAATAAGACTAAAAACCTATTAAGCGACAAAATCGGTGAAAATCGTAAGTAATTCAAAATATACCTACCTCTATACTATTACAACTTCGATAATTGATAATATAAATTACTAAAACATATAATATAATTTTAATATTAGTGATAATAAGGACCTTACTACTATATCTTTCAATACAACTATCCTAAATTCTTTAAAGGGCGAATTTAACTTCAATACTTAGGTTTGTACCCTAAAAATTAAATTCGCTTTATAGGGCCTCAAATATTATATTACTAGTAATATTATTAAACCTACTATTAATAGCGCAATTAAAGTAAATAATGAAAAGCGGCTATACTAATAGTAAATAGAATATACTAAAGTAATAGTTATTATTTACTTTACAATCTGTAATGAGAAGGTCCAAAACACTCTATTAATCAACAGTTGGGACAAAAATAATAATAATCCAAAATATTTATTCAACTTTACTAAGAATAATATTTCTAATATTATAAATAAAGCTAAGAGTAACGGCTTTAATAAATATTAGACTATTAAATGCGCTATATTTATAATACTTGAAGCATTTTTAATACGCTAGTACATCTTACGCAAGCGTATAAAGGATATTAAATTTAGAATTAATGATACTATCGAATTTACTAACCTCTTCAATACTATTAAATACTCATTCCCCACTGAGGCTATAATATAGGCTGCGGATATAAATAAGAACGAATTAACTACTATATCTTTCCTAATTCAATTATCTACTCTAACTAATACCTAAAAGAACTATACTAATATAATTGTAGCGAAGGTTAAAATTAATACTAAGGATACAGCTAAGGAGAATAAAATAAAGGACGATAACGGTCCAAAGTATATTAATTGCAACGTTTGCTAAAAGAAGATTTTTAGAGGTTTAAAATATTATGTTTATAATTATTATTAAATCCTTAATACTCTAAACTAGTAATAATATAAGCTGGATAAAGCCCTAAATACCTAGAAGAATAAAATAAAGATGATGACTTTCAAGAAGAGTAATAGTAATACTACTACAACTATCGCTTATAATAATACTAATATTAATAATCCGCTTACTATTTCTAGTATTAACTCCAACCTATTATTTGGCTTTGGAGGACTATCTTTCAATAATAATTAGGACGAGAAGGATTTTTACTAGAACTCCTAACAATTTTAGAACCAACTACTCATCAAGTAGATAGCATTCAATATAACTTCGTCAAAGTCTAATAAACTCCTAAGGCAATAACCGTAATACGAAATATAGTATTATTCGATAGTAGAAATAGTTCTAATATATTTAATAATATTAAGTAATTTATAGAACTGTACCTTCTACTCAAACTAATTACCTATTCAGTCGGTAATAGTAAAAAATCTAGATCCTACTATATTAGAATAAGAGAATTAAATTTAGTTACTACGAAGGAGAGAAGGATATTAATTGAAATTAAAGATACTATACTCTATCCTTCAATTTCAGAAAATTTAATTACAATGAGAGGTCTTTTTAATAATAGTATAGTATAATTAATAGAAACTAATAAAATAACTTTAAGAATAAAATAAGAAGAGGTTTAGTATAATTGGATTACGAATTTACTAATACTACCGGCTATACTACTACTAAATATTAACGAGAAATTCAGATCTAAGGCACCTAAATTAGCCTTTATAGCTACTATTAACTATAAAACTATATATTATAAATTCATATATATAGGAAAGAAATAGGTTATAAAAGTTTACAAAAATATGGGCATTAAGCTAGCCAATACTAAAAGAATAGAATATACTACCTACCTCAGGAGTAAATTAACTAATATAGTCTATAAGATCTCAAATTTAATAATAACTACACTTTTAGAATTCGTAAGGGTTAATATATAGAGCTACAATATAACTGGCTACTTAGATATAAAGTATATTATATATTTTATGTATATAGTTTTAGGATTTTGCTAGATTAAAGGTATAAAAGATAAGAGCGAAGGCTTTAATATAATTAAAGAGTAGAAGAAATAGGTAGAACTTCAAACGGGTTTAAAGGTTAAAGTACTTAGCTTAGATAGAAGTACAGAATTTAATTTTGGCTCTAAAGATTTCCAAAACGACAAAATCATTATAGAGGTACAACAAGAAGGTATTAAAATTATAAAAATACTAGTATATACTCTATAGATAAATAGCATACCGGAACGAGTAGGAAGGGTAATAATAGAAAAGATAAAGGCTACTATTATTTAATACAATATTTCTATTAAATTCTAACTATTAATAATCGATTTAATAATCAAAATTATAAATCTTTTGCCTATAAAAGCTAATAATAAATATATTAATCCACACGAAATACTAAATTAAACTATAAGCATTCCAAACCGCAAACCCAATATCAAACACCTTCAGACACACTACTATATAGCGTACTACTATATTAAAAAGCAAAAACGTATCTAAGAAAATAAATTTACTAAATATTTAAGAAGAGGTTATTTAGTAAATTATACCGACCTAAATAGAAGAATCTTCTATATCTAAGACCCGGAATATAAATAATTTATTAAAGCTAGTATAATACAATTCCTGAAAGTAGAGGAGGAATAATCGTTAGAAGAGCAGGTACTAAATTATATAATTATATTTTCTGACTAATTAATCGAGGATATAAATAAAGTTTTCAAGAGCGGAAAAGAGGTTTGGATTATTATTACTAAACTTAAACTACTAGAATTAATTTAAAGAATTAAAACTTAAAAATTTAAAAAGGAAAGATAGGGAAATAAAGAAGGACGGCCCTAATTACCTATTAACGAAATTATAAGCCTTAAATTACTAATAATTAACTAATTAAGATTACTTATACCCTCCCTAAGTATTACTATAACCTTTAGACCAATCCTATTAACCCTATTATAAATTCTACTACTAAAAAGTTTATAGACTCTAACGCTAACCTCCTTAAATACCTCAACGAATTTTAAACCCCAAACTCTAATACAAACAATACAACCTACTATTCTAATAGAAGAATCCTTAATTTTAATATTAATAAGTAGATCTATACGGCTACCGACTAATATACAACCCCGGGTATCTTAAAGAGCGACGCCCGCTGTTAATATAATAAATTTAATTAAATAGGATAATAATTAATTTAAATTATTTATTAATTTAAAAAACGAGGAAGAATTCGAGCCTTTTAACAATTCTTCCTTCGTAAACCAAAAAAATTTAAATAAAAAGAAACCTATTCCATTATAAAGAAACCCAAGAAAGTAGTTATCCTCGGACCCTATAATTAATACTCCATTAAAACTACTAAAAAATTTAATTCAAATAGAAAATTAATAATAAGAAGAATTAATAAAATAACAAAATATAAAACTAAACTAGACTACTACTTCGGTAATAATACCCCTAACAAGAACTAGCAAACTAAGAAAACAAATAGCGCTACAACCAAGTACTCTAACTAAGAAATAAATTGTAGTCGATAATAATAATAAGCTTACTAGAAACGTTCCGACTTTCTACTTCAGCCTTCGGGAAAGGGAAATAGTCGAAAAGGATATTAACCTTATATACCTTATAAAAATAAAGATAGAATATAATCTTAAGGAAAGAGTACCTAGAAATTATAAAAAAATATAGCAAATAATTAACTTTATAATATATTAGAAACCTATTATAGAAAATTAATCAAAAGTATTAAAAGATAAAGGAATTTACGAATTAGTACTATTTGAAAGAAATATAGAAATTTTCCTTAGAAAGTAAGTATATAATAAGAAGGATAACTATAATTCGAAGACTAAAGAGCCTAAAGCCCGATAGGTTGTATATAGTAATTTCGAATAAGGTTTTTAGGATATAGAAAATATTTATACGGCTATCGCCAACGTAGCGAGTGTAAAGATCTTCCTGGCTACTATAGCAATTATAAATCTCAAATACTACTAATTCGATTTTAATACTATATTCTTAAATATACTAATACTGGAAGGAAAAATATACTATGTAGAATAGCCTACCGGACTGGAAAAAGGACCTAAAGGACTTCAACGCCTAATTTATCTATTAAAAAGAACTCTATATAAACTTAAGAATAATCCTCTCTATTAGTTTTAGACGTTGCTACTTATATTGAAAAATATAGGGTTTAAACTAGTAAGCAATAATATATATCTATTTAATAATAAAAAAAAAGGAGTACTATTAGTTCTATATATTAATAATTTTCTAATTGCAATACCGACGATAGCTATTATCCTTAAAGTTAAAGATTAATTCCAATAGTATTTTAAATTTAAATATATAGGAGAGGTAAAAATATTCCTAGGCTTCGATGTTATAAGAAATTATAATGAGAAAACGGTTTTCGTCTTATAAACTCGTTATACTAAATTATTATTAAAGAAGTTTATTTATAAAAATCTTTATAGTATTAATACGCCCTAGCCTAATAATCTAAAAGTGGGGGACTACAAAATTAAAGACGAATTATTTAATTAATAGAAACCGTACATTAAAAAGACTAGGAGTTTCAATTACTTATTAATAAATATCCGGCTGGATATTACCTTTATAATCAATAAACTTTACAGAACTAATACTATACTGACTATAAAGTTAATATTAATATTAAAATACTTATTTAGGTACTTAATAAAATACATTAATATAAGAATTACTCCAAGAAGCAAAATATTACCTTCAAATATAAATCTAAAAACATTCAACAATATATCTTTTACAAATAACCCATTAACTCAATACAATACCGGAGGATATATTATATTCGTTACAGGAGGACTAATATACTAAAAATCTAAAAAGCAAACCTTCGTTACAATAAGCATAATAGAGGCGGAATTTACCAACCTTATTCCAATAATAAAATTACTATAATAGATTTCTTAAATAATAAAGGAATTAAGCTTCGGATAACTAATACTAAAAGTATTATATACAAATAATAAGAATATAAGAGACCGAATCTTAAATCAAAAAGTCCCGGGTTGCAATTGCTATATAAATATACGCTTCAAATAAATTATTAAGTAAGTAGAAGGCAAAGAGTTCGAAATTATTTACATTAAGGGGGAAAAAATAATTGTAAATAGACTAACGAAACTATTAAAATTAAATAAGTGTGCCAAATTCATCAAACTCCTAAGTTTCGAAGTAAAGATAGTACCCTAGGTGTAAATATAAGAATGGCTCTAAAGGTATAAATATAAAAAAAATTGAACATTCTTACTAAATATTGAAAAAAAAAAAAAGAGAGAAAGGAATTCAACTTGACTTATTCCGCGTACCCTAATCGAATACCTTATAATATACCCTTTTTTAAAGCGACTATTAATAATACCAAAAAATAATACGTCTTATAGTAATTTTACGTCTCCTATACCCCCGGACAAACCTATACCTATAATGGATAAGATTGGAAGATAAGAAGGATTTAAAAGACGTTAATAATATATAACTAAGTGTTTAAAGAGAAAAACGAATTATAAATAGGGAATTAAACGTACGAACTTTCAAGTTTATACTAATAGTAACTATAGACGTCCTATACAAACTGCTATACTACGGGCGTCCCTATAGTACCCCGGGGGGGGGGGGGGGTTAATAATAATAAAATAATTTAAAATAAACTATATAGTTTAATTAGAACGTTTTAAGTGACTTTATAGTAAAAAAAGGGGTTATTATATAGAATAATAAATTTTACATTGAGAAGGAATAGATTTAATAATATTCTAGCTAGTAGATAACTCCTAAGTAGGAATAAGAATACTAAGTAGCTTCCCATCTTAACACAAGCACTAAAATTTTTTAGTAACATTTAATTGGTTATATCGATAAATAAGAAGAAAGGCCTACTTCAGACTGGAAAAGTGTATTTTAGGAGAATTGGAATTTGATTAAGGAGGGATACAAGGAAGAATAAGTCTATAAAGCCTATTTCGGGCTACAGGAGGGTATTATAGTATAGAGCGTCCAGATTGCTATTCACTAGTATACCCGAATGGCTTGGTCATATATGGGGCCCACTAGGGCGCTACCACTATGTATTTTAGCCCTCCACAATTCTTTTCCTTCCTGGTTCTTAGCTTAGCACAATCATCACGCTTCTTATGCCCACGAATCCAAGAGGAGGATATGGCTTGATTTACCAGAAGCCAGACGGTCGTATGGCCGCTGCTGTCCCCAATCTAGGCCCTGATGCTAGGACCAACGCTGTTAGCCCCTGGTTCAACAGTTCTAGTACGTTTTCTCCCTGACCATAACTCCTTCTCTACCTAGAGAGTTAGGTACCTAACAAACTCAGTCTTCCCCTCCGACATCACCCCTCCCAACGGCGCCCCTATCGCTGCCTGGATCACCAGCCGTCCCTCCTCTCCTTCCCACTTTCCAAACACGTACATCCTCTACCTCGATTCTGACTCCAACATTCAGATGGTTTACACCTCCTTTTCCGAGTCCGGAGACGGTTCTCCATCATGGAAGACGTCCGCGCCAGAAGCGCTAAAGGGGTTGGACAAAAGCACGGAGATCGGATGTGTCCTCATGGCGAGCATTGACAAGGATCAGAATGAGAACGAGATTCCGATTGAGGAAGATTCAGAGGAGGTCAATAGATGTTTCTTCCAGAAGGGAGGGAAACTTGTGGAGGCGAGGATGAGTGGGAGTGCAGGGACGGGCGACTTGGAGTGGAAGATTGTGGGAGAGGTGCCGCTGCCTTTATGATCAAGCAAAGAAAGTAGAATAAACAATTATGATACCCTTTCAGCGTCCCTGGTATTAATGAATTTTACTTTGACCAGTGAAGGTCAATCATTCTCGAGAACGAAAATAAAGACGGCTGCAAAAGATGAAAGGGAACTGTTTGTCACGCATTGGATTTTATTTTCATCATCGACTAAGGTAAGGTAACCATCTCTAATGTCGAAGGTCCAAGCGGGGGTTAATAAGTCAAACCTTTGAGGTTGATTTTCGGAAAGGGACAGTGGTCGAGCGGTATGGTGCGCAGCTTTCTGCAATCCCACCAGGGTTAGGCCCAGGGGAATACTGCCCGCTCAAGGCGGCCGCGTCACCGTAGAACTGTGTACAACGCTACACTAAATTACGAGTGATAAGCGCTGAGTGGTGCCCCTCTGGGATAGTTATCTTGTAACTGGCGTCTTCCGGCTATGCAAATAGGGCTCTACTACTCCCTTCCAGTTGCTCAAACATCCCCTGTTCGATTCGCGATCGAGACCTTTCCATCTTCTTTTTATCTTTTTTTTTCCCCTCCCTACCTACCTATCCCATCTCAAGCCGTCGAAGTTGAAGTTGGCACCACACTCGCCGTCGTCGAACTCGTCGGCTTCACAGTCGAACTGCTCGAACTACTTCCACCCCCTCCACCACCCCCAGCACCAACAACAACAGCCTGCACCACCTGCCCCAACGCATTCGTCACCACATTCACCAAACTCCCCAACGCCTCATACTTGTACGTCTTCTGCGTCAACCCCTTGCCCAAATCCTTCACCGTCCCCGTAAACGTCATATTCTTCAAATAATTGCCCACAATCGTACTACCCCCGCCCACCACCTCCTGCACGATATTCCCCAAATTATCAATCAGAAAATTCACTTTACTATCTCCCTGCACAACACTCCCCAACAATCCATCCACAGCACCGATAACCCCGTCCACCGCATCCACCACGCCATCAATCAAGTTAATCAAGGCAGGGTTGAGATCCAGAGTGGAGAGCGTGCGATTGACGACTTTAACGAGGTTTCCGAGACGAATGACCAGGTCGAGGTTGGCGTCCACGTCGGCTATGGTGATGTTCACTTTGTCGATTCCCACTTGGACGCCGGCGTTGAGTTGCACTAGGGAAGCAACTTCGGCGGCTAGAGCGATGTCGGCGCGGAGGTTGTTGACGTCTAGCTCGATGCGGCCGACGTGCAGTTCGGGGATATGGAGGAGCACGTCGGGAGGGCCTTTGGGGCCGTAGTTGGTGCCTGAGGGGCCGGGGACGGTGGCGGTGGCGGAGGGCTTTGAAGAGGTGGTTTTTCTGGGGGAGGTGGAGGATGAGGATGCTCTTGGTGAGGATGAGGTAGGCGGGATGGACATGGAGACAGAGGTGGCGGCTGCTGTTGAGGTTGGTTGGGTGCTGGACTCAGGTTTTGCTGAGGACTGGGCTGCTGAAAGGGTGACGAGGAGCCCAAAGAGGAGGAAGAGGAGGAAGGTGGTGGTGAGGGACCTCATCGCATGTGTTGAGTGCCCGATTGTGGGCTTGGAATAAGCGAGGTTTGTTGTCTGGTTTGGAGCGGAGTGAGTTGATGATGGATAGGTGGCTCCGAAGGGGATGGAGGTTTGAAGAGTCGTGAAAGGGTAAGTCCACTTGTTCCCCGATCAAAGACCGAAGAGTTGTCGAGATAGTAAAAGAGCTGTCAAGACCTGAAGTGAACATAGCTGACATGACGCGAGATAACAGACCGGGCGACATATAATGTGAACCAAATCATATCACTTCGAAGAAGGTGATGAAGACAATAAATTCGAACCGGTCTCGCGTCTCAAAGGGTTGCTGTTGTTAATATCAGACAGGGGTCATCTATATCCGACCCCAGTTTCTCCCTGTCCCTCCCTGCCTGTTCCTGTTTTGACATTGACCTTGACTGGTTGCATGATCGTCAACCCCGGACCACATCCCGATTAGGCCGTGTCTCAAACGGTACGATGCTACCATGCCGGCTTCCTTCCAAGGCATAGGGCTCCAGGGGCCTGTATGGAGTAACGGTTCGTGGAACGGCGATGTTGAGCTGCCTTGGAATTAACCTCGTCGATATCGGAGCGGCTATCGGCCATATATTGGTTGTGTTGTTTAAAGGTATGCGTGTTCGGCAATGAAGACACTGTGATGGACGTGATCGGTGTGCAACTCGATGTGGGATTGGATCCGGAATTGGAGAGGTGATTGATGCGAGCAATCTTCCTTTCTTGTTGTTCCGATTCTCATCTGCTTTCACAACTTCAACTCGACGCATCATCTTTTCCCGCCTCCAGTCTCGCAAGTTTCGATCTCCGTTCTTCTGACTTCTACTTCGTCTTCTGAGTTAGGGTCCTCAGCAATCCTTCCCACTAGAGCTCGCACTTCATCCCAAACTCATCTACATCACTACAAAGTCCGCCTCTGTGGTCCATCACCACCATGCCACTCTCCCTCCTCCGGACATCCGCCCTCCTCCTCACCCTCTCCCGCCTCCCCCTCGGCTTCACCCAAGACACATCTTCCTCCAAGGACCAAGAACCCAAAGAAGACGGCTACATAGGCTACCGCCTCACCCACCGCGGCGACCCCGAATCCGCCATCTACGAAACCGCCAACACTTCCGATGAAGACCTCATCCTGCCCGAGGACCCAGACGTCTACCTCAACGCCTCGGTGTCTGTCGGCCTGATCGACATTGAAGTGGACAACATCACGGCCAAGGTCAATCTGGACGCCAAGGTTTTGAGTCTGCTGCACTTTAGCGCGGGCGTGGATGCGAGCATTGATCGCGTCAAGTTGCGGATTGAGAACGTCTCTGCCAAGGTGGAGTTGGAGGCCAGACTGGAGAATGTGGTGGCTATGGTTGATGATGTTTTGCGGAGTATTGATCTGAATCCGATTATTGCTACGCTTGGGGAAGGCGTGGGGAAGGTTCTGGATGGGGTGGGGGATGTTGTTGGTGGTGGTGGTGGTGAGAGTGGTGATGCAGCGGGTAAAGCTGGAAATAACCTGCCGGTGAGGGACGACCCGCTTGGTGCACGTGGTGCCAGTGGTGATGAACATGATATGGCCAAACGCAGCCACGCTACTGGCCATGGTCATGGGTCAGGAGCGGACAACGATCCCTTCAACTACAACCTTGAACACAATATTCTCTACAGCGTCAACAATTATCAGGGAAACAGACATCGCAATCGCCGGTTGGATCAGAATGGCGATATCTTTGATGAGTACCTCGACAATGACGGGAACGAACAGTCGAGACAGGTGGTTGGGTATTATAAGGATGACATGACGTTTAATGGACACAACAGGAGCATTGAGGTGGATGGAAAGGTGAAGGAATTTGAGCTGCAGTATGAGTATAAGCCGTTCCCGGGCATTGAGGCGATGTGCTGGATTTATGTGGATACGGAGGGGAAGGTGGTTAGGACGAAGGTCATTTTCGGAGGCGCAGGGCGGAGGGACAAGTACGGTTAGCAATGACTCGGAGGAGTGAGGGGGTGGAATTGATGAAGGGGTATGGTTTCTATGAACGTGCGGGTGTCAAGCTGTGTTGAATGGGTTGAAGAGAAAGGGAAGAATTACCTCACCTCAGCATACCTACATCTACCTAGAAGTAGTGCCCTCTAGTTCGTGTTTTTCGTTCAGGGCAGGTTCATACAGAATAATTGCGGGACAACCTGGAGTGGAAATGTCGACATCTGAACGGCCTGAGCCCCCATTTTGGTTACGGTCTTGGCTGCTTGTCCGCCTATCCAATTGTTGTCTTTATGATCTCCTGCCGATCACCCATACGGGCCAGGTTTGCCGGATATGTGCAGGGCCATGTAGGGGAACCCGACCGCTTGGGCTTGGGCAGCTATGCTGACATGGCACATGAATATCAGGGGAATAGACATGGAGGTCTATCCTTTTCTCAACAAAGTTTGAATCAGATTGATGGAAAGTATTGAATGTCGATACGCGGGGGTCCGAAGGTTGTGTTATGCTTTTGCTGGCTGCACTCGCTGCCAATAAGTCAATCTTGACGAGCTGCGAATGGCCCGGCCCGAGTCCGAATGCACCTCCATTCCGGCCCTTCTTCTCCGATTGGACGCTCTTGCAATCTAGCGGAAGTGGGTGCGTAAAATGGATGCAGAAAGTACTTCCGATGGGGCTCTACATGCATGTTACTACCTTCCCGGTTTCAATGTCGGCCTCTCATCCTTCCCCGCGTTTGGAAAGAAAGGACAACCTCAAGTCGATCCTGGCAAGTTCGACAAAGGTAAGCCAGCCACGTATCCGCCGCTTCCTCAGATCACGAATATACACTACTCCGCGGACGGGTTGGCTGCCTACCTGTACCTACCTCTACTGTTAAGCAAGGAACTTTTCTCCTGCAGAAAAACCCAATTACGACCTAGGTACTATGCAATAGATTGCCTGTAACGAGGGTCCGTCATGTGGTGGAAACCAGTCAAATTCCAGGCTTCCAGCTGTGGTCGAGTGGTTCTGACAACGTTGAGGCTGAAGGTGGAGTTCTTGAACGTCCAATTGTCACTGGTGAGGGGAGGTGACAAAGCAAGGAGAGCAGGCAAAAAAGAATGTAAGTTCTTGATTGGAGGAGGGGTGAGTGTCACAGACTTGACACGTAGTCCACGATAGAGTTGCCCATTTCCCGAAGCCTTTTGATGCACATGCAGTTCAATGCCATATGCGAGATAAGTACATATTGACCCTTAAAAGTTTGTTAGCGTGGTTCCTGCCCCACATACCTTCACAGGGGGGGTTACAAGGGGACACGTCTATCCACGAGCTCTGATTGGCTGAATCTGCCTGATTTCAAAGTGAGAACGAGTAAACAGAGCATACACACACAAACCTTATTTAAGCGCAGTTGTTATGGTCTAGAGAAAGAAGTGTATTAATACGAAGTGAACGAGCATAGCGGAGCTTCTTTTTAATAGGACGAGACCCCTATAAGTTCTTCGTGCCGTAAGTGGTCAGCTCTAGGTTTTATCCGTTTATTTAATTGGTCCATCGTTTGAACTATCCGCTCCTTAGATTAGTTAAATTCCTTACCGCCCCAATTCGCTCCTATAATTAATTAAAATCTATTGGGCCCGTGCTTATCATTAATTAATTAGAGTCCGTCTTTCTAAATAATATAAGATAATACTCTATATTTAATTTCATAAATTGACTATATATTATAGATCTTTATAAATTCTAGAATAGTATAGGCTATTTAATAGTAGTATATAGGTATTTAGTATTTGTATTAGTATATAGGCACTTAGAATTCGTACTAGTAAATCTAATAGGGGTCCCTGGGGGTATCCCCCGGGTATTATCTCTCCTTTAACCCTAACCCTTCTATTAAGGGTCCTCGGGGGTATCCCCCGGGTTTATTTCTCTTTTAGTATAATATTTTTAAGGGGGGTCCTTAGGGGTTTCCTTCGGGTTTATTTCTATTTCTCCCTTTAATGTATTTAATGGGGGTCCTTAGGGGTATTCCCCAGATTTATTTTTCTTAATATAGTACGTTTAAAGGGGGTCCTTGGGGGTCTCCCTTAGGTTTGTCCCTTCTAACCTTAATCTTTATAATTAAGGGTCTCGGGGGGCGGTAGTCTCCTATTAATTTAGAATTTATAAATTCTTTCCCTAGTTTGTACATATGTACGTATTTACTTTTATATAATCGATCTTAATATTACCTAATCGACTATCTTTTTTTCCTACCTACCATTATTAATTAAGTAATTATTATAATTTATAAATATAATATTCTAATTCGGATATTCCATTAATAGTATCTTTAATTATTTATATACTAATCGATTATTTGTACCTAACTTCCTTTGTATATAAGTAATTGCGTTTAATCGGTATATAGTCTAATAATTAATATGCTTTTAAATATTAGTATTCGAGTGATAATTTGTAATTGATAATTAATTATATATACTCGACTTCCTTTGTATGCCTGCGACTACCCTTAAAACGCTGGATTTCTAATAATTATTCTACTTTCTTAGAATAATTAATACTAATATCTATTTATATAGTATTTCCAATTAAGTTCGTTATTTGTATTATAGTATTTATTATAGCTATATTCCCTATACTAATTAATATTATAAATATAAATATTATAATATATATTGTTATAGAATATAGGTTCTTTTAATTTATTTAGCCCCGAGCCTCTACTATCTATATAACTACTCCCTTCTAAATAAGGCCCTTAAAAAGAAGAAGAAGAAGATATTGAGTTAAGGTAATGTAGAAATTGTAAGAGGAATTTCCCTTTGTTTGAATTCGCTAGGAAGAGGAATTTAATTAGGCTGGTTTAATAATACTTTTAATATTATAATTTTTAAGGAAGGTGTAAAGCGAGTTTATTCTAGGTTATAAATTTTGTTTGTAGCTGTACTGGTATACTAGATCCGGCCGCTTTTGTACTTAGTATATTTATTGCTCCAGCTCTAGCTCTCTTAGTTTCTATTTAGGAAACTTCTATAGCGTTTGCCCCGGTTCCCCCGGCTCCCTGACGTTTCGCTTTAGCTCCCCTTACTCTTTTAACTCTTCCTATTTTTCTTTAGGATATTCTTATAGCGCCTATAGTACGTTATATATAGTCTTTAGCCTTTATATCCGTTATTCTACTTTAGTAATTAGTATAGAATATTACTATAAATAGTTAGGTACGTATAGTAGTACTATAGATATTAGTACTAGTACTATAAATGTTGGGGTATTCGTTTCTCTAGAGAGGTGTTGATTTATAGGATTTGCTATTTATAGCGGAAGTCCGACGAACCTATAAAGTTATTCGTAGGGATTACCGCTTTTGCTACCGTTATAATAAATATGTTTTACGTATATTATTTCTTCGGATATTGTATAATTTAATACTATTATTCCCTAATATATTAATATTAGGTAGTCCTATAATGGTTAATAATAGTATTAATACTAATAATAATAGTCCGGTTTGGTTTGAGTATAAAGATTATGGTTTAGTACGCCCAAGGGATATCCGTTATCAAAGTCTAAATTTTGTAACCTTTTATATATATTGTGTAGATACTATTTTTAAGTTAAATAAGACTTTAAGTATAATCTAATAATAATATTTAACGAGTATTAGATTTAATATTAACGTTAATAGAATAGGTATTTCATTAGTAGTATAAGAGTAGTTGGTGCTGTAGCGATTTTATAGATGTCGATAGTTATGACTTAGCCTAGTATTAGGGGTATATTTAGGATGATTAATATATTAATAAAAACGACGATTACTATTAGGGCAGCGAAAATAGTATTGTTAGTATTAGTAGTAACTTCTTACCCTATAGTATTCTATTATTATTTTTGTTTTCATTATTATAGGTATTAATACTATTACGTTTTTAAAGTTCTATTGTAGGGGCTATTAGGATATTATTAACGTCCGTTACGCCCGACCTTAATACTATATAGTTAAATTTTATAATTCTTTAACCCTAGTTAGAGGATTTAATTAATTGAGAGTATATATTTTATTCTAACCCCCCCCTTTGATAATAGTATCCCTCTTTTCTTCCTAGCTATTATTTCTAAGATAAGGTACTTTTTAATTGTAATAAGGGTTATTTAGATATATTTAATGATATTATATTTAATATTAAGTATAAGGAGTATATATTGTACTATAAGAGATAGTTTGATTTATATTTGAAGTATAGTATATATAAGTATTGTATTAATAAGCGGAAGAAGGAGAGATTTAGGGATATGCCGTTCTATTCTATTAATAATTTTATGGACTTTAGCGACGTCGATCCAGCTTTACCTTTCTTTTCTCCGATTGAGGAGTAGTTAATTGCCTGTATCTATATATATATCGATATTTATTTTATCCGTGGAGTTTAATATTATTACTATAGCTATATTATTAATTTTCTTCGAAATATTAGTTTGGTATATAACCGGTTACCCCTTCTACTATAAGAGTTTAATATTATTATACTTTGCCTACAGAATGTAAATAATTAGGAGTAGATTAGGCAATAGTTTCGTCGAAATTAATATATTAATAGATGTAACGTTTAGATATAGTTGGATTATTTGAAGGATAATTACCCTAGATATTGTGATATTGTTATTAACGAGACTTGTTTTTTTTAGTTATTAGAGTAAGGTAATGTCTTTAACCGCCTTACCCTTTTATATTTTTAATAAGGATGTTAATATTAATAAGAATAATAATATTAATATCGATAATGAGGAGGTAGCTGCTATATTGAATTTAATAGTTAATTAAGTTTAATTTAATTAATTTATGAATTAATCAAATAGTTAGGGGTAGGGATAGGGGTAGCGACCCGAGTATCTACCTCTTTAATATATTAAAATTAGTTCTGTATATAGCCCTGAGCTTTTTCTATATTTTATTCTAGTGTTAAACCCGGCCTTAGTTGCTTTAAATTCTTCTATTATCCCGGCTATTTAATTTATTCCGGCTATCTAATTTATTCCGGCTATTTAGCTTATTTGTGTTCTTAGTCCTAATTTTCTATTTATACCCTTAGCGCTAGAGTTAGAGTTAGACTTAGAATTATAATTATTAGGGCTGGATAAATAAGGACGAATTTATAGTTTTATATAAATGTTAGGGTTTGTTAGGCCTATTCTAATTAGTGAATTTAATTGGTTATAAGTATTGCTTTCGTAGGTATTCCTAACCCTTTACCCTTGAAGTTAGGCCGACTTTATAGCTTAACGTTTTTATAAAGTAATATATTGTAATTATATTAAATATACTATAAAGTAGAAGGATGGCTGCTTTATTTGCTATCCCCGGTTCTGTTTTATTACTTTTAATACTTTAATACGTAGTTAAATTAATTAAAAGAGCTCTTTCTATATTCGTTGTAACCCTAATTAAGGTGATTTGTAAGTAGAAGATTTTAGGGCGGTTTTTAAAGGCCGTACGGACTAGAGCGAATAGATCTTCTAGTTTATTATAAAATATATAGATATATTATAGGGTACCCGACTATATTAGGGGGTAAAGAGGTAGGTACTAGAAGTATTTATCTATAGATTTAGTATATCCTTATTCTTTATAACCTTTATACTTACTAATATATATTGGAGGTCTTTAATTAGGCTTATATCTTAGTATAATAAATAGTTAGGTATTAGTAAGTACGAGCGTGGTGGAATTGTATAGGAGAATCTTTGTAATAACCCGGTAATTAGTATATAGTATTTCTAGAAGAAGTATAAAGCCTTTCGGTAGTATATCCTTATACCTAAATTTTGTATTGCCGATTATTAGGATTAATATAAATAGTAAGCCTGTAGTAGCCTTTATAATTATAGCCTCTATTAGTGTAAAGGTATATTTGAAGTATAATTCGAGATACTCGATAGTAAAGATGCGTTTGCTACTTTTTAGGGTATTTATATTATAGCTATTAACCTAGAGGCCTATAGGGCTCCTATTGTAGCCGAAGGTAATATATTGGTTGTTTGTATGGGGGACTATAAGTAACCGACTTTTAGTACTTTATTTTATATTATTAACTATATTAACTAGTATTAATATAATATAATATATTATTTATAATGTTGTAAATTATTTAATAGTTCGATAATTATAAAGCCCGTATACCGTTTCAACTTCCCTTGGCTATTATACGACCGTTTATATATAATTCGTAAATTTAACTTATTGTACAATATATTTAATACTATATGCAATAATACTAATATTAATAGTTAGAACCCTACTTTATTATTAGGTTGGCTAGTTAATACCAATATCTCTTT